TATTAAAAAAATGTTTCTTCACACATGATAGAATTTTGCACTTTTCCAGGGTGTTGTATACAAACTGAAGAAGAAACTTGAGTTACCATTAATCCGAGCAGAGATTTCTGTATGATCTCCAATAGAGCTGAGTTTGGCAGGTTTCTAAAATAGTTACAGAAGTGAGCTAAAGAAATCTTAGATATAGTATAGCCCAGTGGACACGAAAACCGTAGTCCATAAATTTTCTGAGATTAAAAAAAAAAAACAAACAACTAAGAGGGCAGAGAGATGGCACCATAGCTTAAGAGCACTTTAATACTCTTGCAGAGGACCCAGGTTTGGTTCCCAGTACCCACATGGTGGCTCACAACCACCTGTAACTCTAGCTCTCGGGGATCTGTCACCCTTTTCTGGTTTTGAGGGCTTCTGCTTGCACATGGTGCACACAAACTCAGACCGTCACACACACATGCACGTAAATGAAATAAATCTCTTCAACTTTTTTTTGAAATTATGTGTTCAATAGAGCAAGATATAAATGTATAAGCTTTTAAATTACATTTTTTGGGGGAAACAGGTTCTCATTATGTGGCACTGGCTGACCTGAAACTCATGCTGTGGACAGACTGGCCTTGAACTCCCAGAGATCCTCCTGTCTCTGCTTCTTGAGTGCTGGTATTAAAGGCGTGCACCACCACACGTTAGCCACACTTAACTTTTAAAAATTGTTAGCTAGACCTGTTGTTGCAGGTGTGTAATCTCATCTTCTTAGGAGGCTGAGGCAGAAGGATTGCAATTTCAAGGTCAGCTTGGGCTACAGAGTGAACTCAAGACAAGCTTGGTGATGTAGGCCAGTGGTAGAAGCCTTGTCTAACTTGCTTGGGGATCAATCTACATTCAATTACTAGTATCAAAGAAAGAAGGAAGGAAGAAAAGAAGGAGGAAGGAGAGGGAGATGAGAGAGACAGACACACAGTGTTTTCTGAAGCAGCGCTCATGGGAAGGATCTGCTCTGTGCTGCACTCGGGAGGTGAAGGTCCGTCACACACAGGTTGGGATTGATCAAATGGATCGGAATTCTTCCTGCTTTTCTTCCTCTTTGACTGAGCATAGTCAGTTCTGTGTGACTGAAATGTCAGGCTGGATTTGTCCTTCCCCAACTGCTGACCTCCGCTGGCCCAAATCTGTCTTTGGAGATTGACAGAGCTAGTTGCCAGGTGAACACCTGGTTCTTTCTCTCGTCCCTGTTTCCAACGGGCTTCTTGACCATAACTCAGTCTGAAGTAGGATTTTTTTGCATATAGAGACAGGATAAGTCGGCCTTCTTTAAGGATCAGACATCACTCTACCCCAACCTCCGTGGTTTCTCTATCTGCCATTTCAGTTAGCTGTGGTCACTCACTGTCCAAAAATAATAAATGAACATCAGCCAAGCAAGGTGGCTCATGCATACAATCCCAGCACTTGGAAGAGAAAACCCAGTGGGGCTCACTCCTCCAATGTCAACACTCAGAAGGTCGAGGCTGGGCAGGAGGATTACTCTAATAGCTCAGGCCAACCTGGACTTAAATATATTTAAGTATTAAATATATTTATAAATATTGAGTCTTAAGTATATTTATTTCTTCACATCTCTGTTTTTCATCTAGTTGTTCATCTGTATACTAAAACACAAGGTGAAACACATAAGGATTTAGTCATAGCAAGGGCACGTTGTGGTGAAGGCAGGCAAGTTCTTTAATAAAGTATGAAAAAGTTTTTTTTTTCTTTTTTGTATTATTAACAGCATATGGAGTTTATTCTTAAAAAAAATTCAGATATGTATGGGTGAGGAAGAGGTTAAGGCATCTTGAATGTCTTGAACTGATCTCTGACAATAAGAGTATCTTTCAAAGCCTGGAAGGAATTTAAAAAATGAAGCAACCCCCAGTGTTTTGACCCAGTGTGTAACTATCTCATCTCTTACCCTGGATGAATGCAGCTCATCTCCCACCCAAATAACATCCTCTGTAGTGGGATAACAGAAGCTCCTGAGTTTATGGTTTTTTTTGTCCAATGAATTTCATCTCATAATCCAGCTTAAACTTGTATGTCACTTTGGCTACATTTATGTACAATTAAGTTTGAAGTCCCTACCTTTGTGTATATGTGGTGTGAGGGGATGGGAGCACGTGTGTGTGTGTGTGTGTGTGTGTGTGTGTGTGTGTGTGTGTGTATGTGTGTGTATGAGAGTGGGTTCAATCTACAACATCAGCACTGACACCCCAATTTAGACCCCCTGCTCCCTGTTTAATTTTTTTTTTTTGGTCTTTTTGAAATACGGTCTCCCTGTAGCCCCAGCTGGCCTGGAACTCACTGTGTAGACCAGGCTCGATCTCACGGAGTCAGTGCTAAGATTAAAGGCACACACCGCCACACCCAGCTCTTGAAAGAGTTTTTGATTTATAGAAAAATTGCCAAGATAGTACAAAGTTCTTGTAGACTCCGTACCATTTCCCTTAACTGCCTTGTCTTACAGCTTGGTTTGTGTTAGTTTTTTTTAACGTTGGTGCACCTTGTAAAATCATTTAAGGAAATCTGGCTCTCTTTGTGCTGAGAGAGAACCCTGTCATTTCTATGCTTGGGATTGGCATTCTTTGTGGGAATCACTGTCTGAAAGCAACTCGCTGATCTTTCCAAATGCTTCAGAAAAAAGATATTCACCTTTCAATAAAGAGAACAAATTGGGCATATAATCCCAGCACTCAAGAGGCTGAGGCAGGAGGATTGCTGTGAGAGTGATGCCAGCGTGGACTACATAGTAAGTTTCAAGTCAGCCAAAAAAGAACAGAGAGAAGAAAAGGAGAAAAATAAAACAAGTTTAATTATATAAGACCTTCCTACTAATTCCTTCTTTCCTTCTTCTTTCCTTTTTTCTTTTGTCTTTTTGAGACAGGGTCTCCCTGTAGCCCCAGATGGCCTGGAACTCACTATGTAGACCAGGCTGGCCATAATCTCACAGAGATCTGCCCACCTCTGCCACTGCTTCTGGAGTGCTGGGATTAAAGGCGTGAGCTGTCAAAACTCACTGATCCTTTTTTATTTTAATACAGCATCTCACTATGTTGCCCAGCTTGATTTTGAACTCCAGATTCAAGTCATCTTCCTACCTCAGCCTTCCAAAAGACCTTCCCTACTTACCCTAGGGTTCTAAGTGAGGTTCCTGTGTTTCTTGATTTTTTTCCCCTTTGTTTCCTACATTTCTTCTTCTCTCCAGTAGGTACACTGGAAAGTGTTCTAAGGCAGTCGGAATTCTGTGCAAGTTAGGACAACTGATGTAGTCTTGTCTGTGTCCCGAGGTGTGGGAAAGGCGCCAGATTTCCCATGTAATGCTGGGCGGAAGCGAGACTGGTTGCACTCCAGGTGCAGGAGGGGGAGGCTATCCAGGTTTTGATAGGTGGAGCTCAGGCAGTGTGCTGCCTGGGCCTGCCTGGAGGAGCCAGTGTCGTCATTTGGGAGTGGTTCCCAGGGAATGCTGGGCTGCTCACCCACATTCAGCTAGTGCTGGCTTGTTGGGGAGCCTTACTTTTGCAGGGAGGAACCCCGAATAGATGGCAGAAAAAAAAAAAAAAAGGAAAGAGTGCTTTCCTGTGGTGCGATGATGCACAGTCAGGCACTGTGGGAGAAGTTCCCACATTCTTGTGAGTCCACCCACCTGTGTATAATACAGGTATTGTTTTTTAAACTGTTTTTTTTTCCTTTTCTTTTTTTTCAGTGCTAAGGATAGAACCCAGGGCACATGCTAAGCAAGCACTGTACCACTGAGCTACATCCCTAGCCCAGTACTCTCTGTTAACAGTGAATGAAGTTCTTTCTTTAAAACATCACACACACAGACACCACAGTTCATTCAGCTTGGCAGAGAAAGAAGCAGGTGCGAGTTGCCTGAAGGACCAGGTATCTCTGAAGCTAGAAGTTTAGCATCTTGTAGTACATTTTCAGGGCCCTTCACAGATTAACCATAACTTGCTGTGCTTTAAATCTCTCTTAACTAAGCTATGGTAGACAAGGCTACAGCATGATTTATCCCAGTATGTTAAAAACTTAACAGTATGTTTTACTAGCCCTTACTCTTATGGATTCACTTATGTCGTGGGGCAGATGAGACTCCTGAAATCTTTTTCTTTAAAATATGGACCATCTGCCATGTTCTTCCACACCCGTTTTAAGGTTTCATCTGCGAGTCTTCAAAAAAAGTGCTTCCACTTGGAGTGTATACAGAACGAGCCTCATTGTTGGGAAGAAAGGGGGTAGCTTGAAAGGGCTCACTTTTACATCAAAGATGTTTAGATTTTCCATCTTCTTTGCACCATGATTACTTCCTTTTAATGTGATGGTAGAAAATGCTCTTGTAGAGTTAGCTTTTCTCTTGTCTCCTGTTTTTCCTGTGGCTGGATATGCTAGTGGGATCTCTGTATGCTGAGTCTGACAAGCTGAGGTCTTACCAAAGAAGGATGTGTTCTGAGGACTTGGCATTAGGGAGGGAGGGGGATGGGCAACAGATCTGCTGAAATCACTCTGAGTCATTAGTCATGTGTTCTTACAAATAAGAAAGCTGTTCTGGATTGGCTCCTGGACTTGTGGAAAATTTGCCGTGAAGGACATTTTGGGTTTAATTTATGAATTTTTGAAAAGTTCTGCAGATTAGAAAATAGTGTTATATCCATTTAAAATTCCCTGACTTCAGTAGTTGTACTATGGTTATATAATTAAATGTCTCTTTCCTTAGGAAATATGTATTGAGATGTTTTGGTGTGAAAGAGCACTGCCATTCTCAAATGACTGAAAAAGAGAATATATGAACAAACACACATAGCTTGGGGAAGAGATGAAGGAAACGTCAAATGTGAACACCTGGGCTGTCTGGGCGAAGCTCTCACAGGAGTACTCTTGTGCCATGTTTGAAACTTTTCTGAAAGTTCGGTATTATTTTACAATTGATAAAAGTCATTGCATGTCTGGTGTCTTTGTCTCCTCAGTCAAACCGGCACCATGTCCAGGCATCAGAACCAGAACACCATCCAGGAGCTCCTGCAGAACTGCGCGGACTGTCTGATGCGTGCCGAGCTCATCGTTCAACCTGTAAGCTCCACCCTCACTTCTCCAGAGCCTCTTCCTCGCCCACAGTGGTTCCTGAGGAGCCTCGGCTCGCCTGGTCCCCATTTTGATCTCTATTGGTAGACCTCTTTCACGTACTTAAATGCTTAGAGATGATCTTCTTTAGACCAGGCTAGACAGGGATATTAATCGCGGTCTGTTTTCTGTTGCTAGTAACAACAGCACAGACGGGAAACTATAAAGATGTTTGTTTTGGCTCATGGTTCTGGTCCAAGCTCAAGGGCAGCATCTGGTGATGACCTTGTTGGCAGAATCCCAAGATGGTGTAAGGCAACAGGCCGGGAGCACACAAGACTCCCGGCCAAGGTGGCCTTTGTAACAGACCCACTCTAAAGATACCCTGTTAATCCACTAATCATGTAAATGGATTAATCACCTCTTAAAGTTCTCATTTCTTAAGCTCTCATAATAGGGATAAACTTTAACATGACATTTTGAGAGAACTGAGATGTTTTGGATCTCATTGACCTGGGATTAAATCCTGGTTGCCATGAAACTCTCAGTGCAAAGACTTCATTTTAAATCACTGTAGCTCTCTTGCTCAGGGTTTTCTAAAGACTGCCTAGTGAGTGATGGGGAGTTGCTGCTGTTTCTAGACTTTTCCTAAATGGTTGTGTGTTTTCAGGTAAGGAATCAGACTCTCGTCTCCCCAGTGTTGATATTAATGTTTTGGTTGCACCTAGAATCTGCTACATCGGAACTATTTTAACCCAGAAAATTTTATGTTCTCTTTTTCTTTAATTTGAAAAATATCTTAATGTTCCAATTTCATAATTGTGGTATTGTGTGCATACTTGTTCTGGTTCATTTTGTCCGATCAAATGAGTATCCTCATCCAGGTATGGTGACATGCCTATGATCCCAACCATGACTTAGCAGTAGAGGCAGGGTGATTGCAATTTTGAGGCCAAACTCTATCAGTGAAAGAGAGTAGAGAAAGGGCGGGGGAGAAAGAATGAATACATATTTTCAGTTCATGTTAAAAAGCCTTTAGGAGCCGGGTATGGTGGTGCACGTCTTTAATCCCAGCACTTGGGAGGCAGAGGCAAGCGGATCTGTGTGAGTTCAAGGCCAGCCTGGTCTTCGGAGGCAGGTGGATCTCTGTGAGTTCAAGGCCAGTGTGGTCTCCATAGTGAGTTCTAGACCAGCTGGGGCTACAGGGAGACCCTGTCTCAAAAAGACAAAAAAGAAAAAAAAAAGCCTTTAGGGATCAGCAAACTAGTTTGTTTTGTATGTATATACTTCTTTAAAATCCCTCCCATACCTGGATGGACTCCTTCATTCAAAGCAAATAGGACGCATCAGTGACTTGATGCAAAACATACTTAGCTCAGCCCTGGGTATAGCTTTACAGTGACTGTGGATATATTTCACACTAAAAATTTACATGCCATCATGTTCTGTTTATTTCTACTGATGGGCATTAACATGCAATAGAAGCATGCTTGGGAAATAGTGTCATATTTCCTAACATTTTTGTGTAGAAAAATAAGATTCATTTGGCTGAAGCTGAATGAGAGGAGCAAACAGAAAATAAGAGGCTAAATGGCGCTGAAGTAGCAGAGGGGGTGTTCCATTTAAATACGACTTAGTTTGAAGTGCGTAGAGACTCACAAGAAGTTACAGGAATAGGATAGTTCAGTGTCAGGTACCTGTCACACAGCTTCCTCCATTGTTAACATCTGACATAACTGCACTGTGTCATCCAAACCAGAATAGAGGTTTTATTTAAGAGCTGAAAAGATTATGTTCCTCTATAATGTAGGAAAGACTCAGCTGGTGTGTAAAAGGCTGTATCTAGTAAAAGGTCCAGCATTCTTATCTCAGTGAAATTCTCAGTAAAGAGGCATTCAGCATAAAATGAAGACATGTAGCATATTAAAGCAAAGGTGAGCATCCTGTAATTTATCTTTAAATTTTAATTGAAGGGCTGGTGAGATGGTTCAACAGGTAAAGGCACTTTCTGCCAAGCCTTACCACCTGAGTTCAATCCCCGAGACTCATATAAATATGGAAGGAGAGAACCAGCTCCATAGAGTCCTCTGGCCTCCACTGTGCATGCTGTCCATGTCATATATACACACACAATAAAAATATATTAAAAATTTAAAAATATTTTTACTTTGTGTGTGTTTACACCCACACTCATGTATATGGCATGTGTGTGGAGGTCAGAAGACAGCTTGGAGACGTCAGTTTACTCCTTCTACCATGTGAGCCCCAGAGATCAAACTCAGGTCATCAGGCTTGGTGCCAAGCCCCTTTACCCATTCAGCTATTGTGATGTTTTTCTCCTTCTGTTAAAAAATACGAGTGAATGTTTAAAAGTCCTCAAAATTTTGTTCATCTACTTCCTTGTGTCAAATTAATAAGATCATTTTCAGTTAGAAATCTTTTTTTTTTTTTTTTTTTTGATCACAGTGTAGACCAGGATGGCCTCAAACTTTGATCCTTCTGCCTCCATCCAAGGACCGGGAATACAGGTGTGTACCACCACACTTAGCTCAGTTAAGAATCTTCTGCAGTTTGACCGGGAGTGGAGCTTATACTATCTTACAGTACAATGGAAGATTTTGCTTTCTTTGATGCACAGGACGACTTTCCTTACGGTGTTTTCACATGGATTCTTTCTGTTAGGAATTGAAATATGGAGATGGAATACAACTGGGCCGGAGTAGAGAGCTGGATGAGTACTTTGCGCAGGCCAACGATCAGATGGAAATCACGGATAGCCTGATCCGGGAGATGCGGCAGATGGGCCAGCCCTGCGACGCTTATCAGAAAAGGTATTGTTTGTGGATCAGGTGGGCCTTACGTGATGCAGGGCTTCTACCTGAAGAAGGGCACACATTTCCCAGAACACCTTGCTTACTTGGAATTCTGTGGCTTTATCCATTTCTAATACAAATTGACCCAAACCACAACCTTCTTCTCTGGAATCCCAAAGCTGCCAACAGAATTAAATAGACTTGCCCAAGAAAGTGACCATCCAAAAACTCGGGCTCTGGGAGGTGGGAAAGATAACTCAGCAGTTAAGAGCACATAGTGTTCTTGCAGAGGACCTGGGTTCATTTCCTAGCATCCACATTAGGCAACTAACAACCACCTGTAACTCCAGCTTCAGGGGATCCAACGCTTTTGCCCTCGACCGGCTCCTGCAGTCATATGCACATACCCACCTACAGACACATACATACACATAATTAAAAATAAAATAATATGATAAATAGAAGAAAAATATTCTAACTCTTGCTGGAGTGGTAGCATAGGCCTATGATCCCAGTTACTTGAGAGGCCAAAGCAGGAGGATTAAAAGTTCAAAGCCTGCTTTAGCAGGCTACATAGCAAATTCAAGAGTGGTTTGGGAAAGTTAAAGGGCAGGAGATGTAGATGTAGTTCAGTGGAATACTTTTGAAAGCCCTGGGTATAGAGATCAGTGGTAGAGTATTTGCCTAGCATGCAAAAAGCCCTGGGTTCAATCTCTGGTACTGCAAAAACGCTAGTTCTTTGAAGAGTTGAGTGGACTATGAGTTATTAACCTTCCCTGCACTTAGACAGCAGTAGAGGCTTTCAGTACAGTATCTGACTATTCAAGTCTATATCAAGTTGTATTTATTCAATACAAAAGTGAGACTCTTAAAGTTAGAAGTGATAGCCCAAAGCAGAGCTGTGTGGTCTGAATTTGTTCTCATGCTATGGAGGCCCAGGGAAGCAGGAAAATAAATCCCCAGGATGACACTCAGGAGAAAGCAAGATGCTAAGGGGTTAGGCAAAGGCAGTGACTTTTCATGATGTTTTGGGCTTTGAGCATCATCTTAGTATTCATACCTTGCATGTTATCAAGTTGCAAAAAAAAAAAAAAAAAGAAAAGAAAAGAAAAACAACCTTCAAATGACATATCTGTGCTGCATGGACCCAAAGGAGACCCAGAGAAGGGAAGATTTGCCCTGGGCTGTTTTCATTGTTTTTCTGTGATAACATTCTTCTTTTTCTTTCCTTGCAGACTGCTTCAGCTCCAGGAGCAAATGCGAGCCCTTTATAAGGCCATCAGCGTCCCTCGAGTCCGAAGGGCCAGTTCCAAGGGAGGTGGAGGATACACTTGCCAGAGTGGCTCCGGGTGGGATGAGTTTACCAAGCGCCTTACAGGCGAATGTCTGGGCTGGATGAGGCAGCAAAGGGTAAGTGGTGCCCAGGTGGACTGACACATGCTGGTTTCTCGACCCCAAACCCATGTAGTCTAAGTATAGAGGGTGGTGTAGTCAGCCCCAGTGTTCTGGAATTGCAGTGGCAGCAACCTGTTAACTCATACCATCATTCTACCCAAGCTGTAACTGACCTCATCTGATCCACTGTGATGGGTCAGTTAAAATATTAACATGTGCTGGACATGGTAGTACAGCCTTTAATCCTGGTATCCTGGAGACAGAAGCAGATGGATGTCTGTGAATTTGAAGCCAGCCCAGCCTTCAAAGAGTTCCAGGCTGCATAGTAAGACTTTATCCCAGTAAAATAAAAATACCTTAACAAGTTGGAAGAGCTGGACACTGGTGCTCTGGTTTGGACTCCTTGGTTGCTCACTTTACATTTTTGAAGTGTTAGTTGTCTGGTTGTGCAAGTGTCATATCACTTGTGTGGGTGTGAATCAAACAGTGGCACCAGAAGCATGTGCTGATCCTTCCCCTAGAACTGGAGTTTCTACAAAGTATTTTTCAATGCTAATTACTGTTTTGTTGTCTTATGTGGTAATTAAGCCCGATAATGAACAGGTGGCAGGAGAAACATACCATAATCATATAGATGGGAATTTTATAATGAAAACCTTCTCCTAATGAACCATCCTTCACTGAGAGGTAGATACGTTAGAATGATACATTGTAGAGAGATTGTTATACAATGTGGTTGTGGTTGTAAGAAAACCTGGTTCCTTGTTGAACCAATTTGGTAATTCTAAAATTTCGTAGCCGTTTTAAACCTCTCCCTCCGTTTTCTTAGTCTGGGTTTCATTATGTTGCCCAGGCTGGTCTTGGGAATATGTGGGCTCAGGCCATTCTCCCAAACCAGCCTCCTCAGCGGCTAGGACCATAGGCAAGTGGCACTTGCACCTAGAATTAAAGATTTTTAAGTTTATTCTTTCCTGTGTGATGAAATTTTTTGCCACATATCATTCACCCATTCCATTATTTTTTCCTGTTTACCTTTTATTTATGTATTTATGCTTTGTTTTTATTTATTTATTTTTATTTTTGAGATAGGGTCTTTCTATGTAGGCCAGATCAGCTTTGATCTTCCGATCCTCCTGCCTCCGCCTCCAGGATACTGGGAGTGTAGTATGTTCCACCATGCCTGACTTATTTCTCCCATTTATTCTGAAGACTATAAACTGTTATGGAAGGTGGAATAGAGGAGGAGCATCAGCGATGATCTCAGAAGAAAATATAAACCTGTTTGCATGTTTTCAGATTCCCTTCAAATCTTTGACTGTCCCTCCCTTCATGCTGAGGTAGGGTCTCATATACCCTATGCTTCCTTGGACTAGCTCTGTAGCCGAGGATGAGTTTGAGCTCCTGAGCTTCCTGTCTCCACCTCTGAACATTTTAAAACCCTCATTTCTTGAGGGTTTATATGTCTGGTACCAAGCCAGAAACTGAAAGCTCAAAAGTTATGATTCATGGTCTCAAGGATGAAAATTGTTGAAGACTACAAGACATACCCCAAATGCCAAATAATTGCCTGTGAGATCGATAATAAAATCTTGCTTAGGAATGGGGAGAGGGTGGCATTCCAGCCCTGTGGAAGATTGAGGTTGGTGGAAATTCAACTATACCTTAAAGATCATTGTTCATAGGCAAGACAACCTTTGAACCAAATTATGAAATGTCATATCCTCTAATGTTGTCTAAAACAGTATGACAGTTATATAAAATGACAGCTCACAATTTGTCATTTTCAGGCTTTATGTGGGTGTTGCTTTGTGAGAACACTTTGTAGAACTAGGTGTGGTGGCACATGCCTATAATCTCAGCCTGGCTGTGTAGTGGGACTGCTTTAAAAACAAATAAACAAACAAAAAAGCAAAGCAAAATAAAACAAAGAACACTTGGTAGAAAAGTTTCTACATCTCTAAATGTCAGAAAATGGCATTGTCACAGGGACTCAGTTTTACGTCATTTTCTAATAGTCCCATTGATGAGCCATGCTTTTGACGTGGGCAGGTGGCCCTTGTGGTTCCCAGCAAACTAAAAGCTGTCTGAGCATACCTCTGGTTTACCCTGTGATTCTGTGTGACCTTTTCCCTCTCTCCCACCATCCCCCCACATAACCAGCATTCTTCACTTACTCCCAGGAGACCCAGATGAGGCCTCTGCTGATAAGGGAGCCACTCCCCTGGCAGCATGTTCAGGAGGCGGACACACATCTCCTGCCAGGTTTCTGCTTTGTTTCCCTGATCTGTAACTCTGCTGATGGACGAGTCAGATACTGTACACCTGCCTGTAACGAACTGAGTGAGCTGGAGTTGGGTCATCTCTGCCTTCCCAGCGTAGCACCTACTGTTTCTGTTTTAAAGCAGGGCTGGTTGCAGGACACAGGGTTCAAAGTCCCAGGTAACCTTCAGTTACCTGACTCTGAAATGGCTCCTCTCTCTGAAACCTTGCCAAGGGTACTAGAACATGGATGTGGCTTAGGACAATTGCATTCTGTTCTCCCTGACATTCCAGCATGGAATGCTTGCCCTTGGCTTATCTGAGAGATGACACAGGTGATTTAGAAATGTACATCTCCTCATGCAAAAAGGAGGAGGAGATGTTGGACTTGACCCAGAATGAAATGTGGCCCAGAATGGAACAATATGTTTGATTCTTGCAGTGCAGCATTCTTAAATTTCAGATCCAAGCCATAAACCTAGCAGATTCCATTTTTAAAAAAATGAACATAAACCCACAATCTTAATATCATTGCCAGCATTATTCAAAATGATGACCTTGAGTTTGCTTAGTAACTTTCTTTTGAAATGGACCATAGAGAATTTTTGCATCCTAAAAGGGAATTATAAACACTATTTCTGAGCCATCAGTTGATTACATTACATTCATCAAAACAACTTAGGGCTTGAGGTGCAGTGCAATGGTGGAGCACTTGTCTTGCATGCATGAGGCCATGGGTTTGATTCCTCATACAATAATAACAAACAGAAGATAATTTAAAGAAATAAAGACAGATCTTCAGGTCAGCTATTTAGCTTGAAAAGCAGTGCATGTCTATGCTTCAGAGGTTTCTGACTTAGATTTAATGAAGAAATGTGTATTGGTATTTTACAGTGTTATACACGAGAGTATATTCACACACACTTGGATTCTCTTGTGTTTAACCATTAAAAATTGTGTGTGTGTGTGTGTGTGTGTGTGTGATGAGTATTATGGTATGGGGGGGTCAGAGGACAATTTTTAGGAGTTGGTTTTATCTCTCCACTGTCCAGTCATCCAACTTTCACCAGTTGAGCCATCTTGCCAGCCCCTCCACCACTCCTGTATTCTTATGCTAAGATTTTCTTTGTTCAGAGGAATGATCTAGATTACAAGGAACCCATTTCTGAATTTCTTCCTCAGCTCAGCTTGGGCTGGAGCCTTGAGGATGTATTTGGAAGTTTTCATGAACCCTTAAAAAATATTTTGGCTTATCCAAGCATGCGGAGGGGTGGTAGGCACGATGTGCCACCTCTAGCTGAGGAGCTATTGATAACCGACATTCTAAGAGGAGAGTCAGCTTTCTTTGAGAGTTTGGTTCTGGTAGGCTGGCTGTGTTGCAGTGGATGGCCCCACACTCAGGAGTACATGGGCAACACAAAGTGGGCTTGATAGGTTCAAAAAAAAAAAAAAAAAAGAGGACACAAAAATTGGGTGGGTTGGGAAGGGAAGTGAACCTGGGAGAAATTAGGGGGGAGGAGAGGTAAATATGATCAAAATACATTGCATGAAATTCTCAAAGAACTAATAAAAAAATGGGGAAAATATTTTGGATTCAAACATACTTTTGTGTTTTGGGTTTTTTTTTTTTTTTTTTTTTTTTTTGAGATGGGAGCTTGTTATGTACTGGTCTTGAGCACTTGTGCTCAAGAAATCTTCCTGCCTAAATTTCCTGGATGGTTGTACTTTTTTTTTTTTTAATCTGAAACAGAGCTATGTGTGATATTTTGACCCCTGGTGCTATAGAGAAGTGAGTCCGTTGCAGAAGAGGGCAATAAAGGGTGCACCCCTTCTCTTTTCACAGGCAGAGATGGACTTGGTGGCCTGGGGCGTGGACTTGGCCTCTGTGGAACAGCACATCAACAGCCACAGGAGCATCCACAATGCCATCGGAGACTACCGGTGGCAGCTGGACAAAATCAAAGCCGACCTGGTACTTTTCACTTTCATTTTAGAGTCATCAGAAAGCAGACAGAAGGATGGGTCTATCTTAGGCAAATTTGTCTGAAACATTAGACTATTATTTCCTTTCCAAGGGATTGGAAAGTTTTAAAAAATCCCATCATATAAAAGAGAAGTGGAATCAGTCAGATTTATTGGACCCAGAGAAGGAGTTGAACCAAAGGCTGAGTACATGCAGGCACTCTTGAGTTTACAGGTTTTGAATTAGTATTTGGGGAGGTGGTTGGTAGAGAGTTAGTGCAGAAAGCAAAGTATCACCTCTCAGAGGGAAAATGAAACTATCATGTAGTCTGTGTTGTTTGAAAATCCTCTCCTGGGTGGAAATTAAACTGTGTGTCTCCTGAAGGAGATCATGTCTCATGATTATATGTCTTCTGTGCTGAAAAAAGTCAGACTTGGAGCTGGAGCAAATGACAGCAGGAGATATTAATTTGATCTCAGTGCTCTGCCCCCCAGGGCTGTATATGAACTTTTATACTTAGGCCAAAGCTATTATCTTCACTTATTACTGCTTTTAAAAAGATTATTTTATGTGTATGAATTTTTGCCTGCATGTATGTATGTGCACCGTATGCAGGCAGTACCCTCAGAAGCCAGAAGAGGGCATCAGATCACCTGGAAATGGAATTATAGATAGCTGTGAGCCACCATGTGGGTGCTGGGAACTGAACCCAGGTCTATCATCAAGAGCAGTCAGTGTTAACCACTGAGCCATCTTTCCAGCCCTTCTTCCTCCTTTTTTTTTTTAACATCCTTAACTCTTGTCCACTTGAGTACCTGATCAACCTTCTTCCTCAATTTTTTATTTTTAAATTTTTATTCTATTTATTATTTTTATTTTTATGTGTATGAGTATATTGCCTGCATGCATGTGAGTGCACTTGTGTCATGCAATGCCCGAGGAAGTTAGAAGAGGGCATCAGATCCCCCTAGAACTAGAGTTGTGGACAGTTGTTAGCTGCCATGTGGGTGCTGGGATTCAAATGTGGGTTCTCTGCAAGAGCAGTCACTGCTTTTATCCACTGAGCTATCTCTCCAGCCCCTTCTTCCTCATTTTTTGAAAATCTAGGTGATCCTAAGTCATATTTTCAAGGTTTCAGGAGAAAAAAAGTTCAACAAGCAACTCTTTAAGTGACAGTGTCCAAGTCTCTGCTTTGTGGAGAGGGCACAACCAACTCAGGGAGGAGCCTTCAAACAACCTGAAAGGTCCCTGTGGACAAAAGACTTCACAAGCCCTTATTTCTTTCTGTTGAGGGATGTGAGGCCAGCATCTTACAAGGAGGTTTAGGAGGGCTGCTCTCTCCATAGACATCCACAAGAGGACTAATGAATTACCTGTGTTTTCTTGTCTTCCAGCGTGAAAAATCTGCAATATACCAGTTGGAAGAAGAATATGAAAACCTGCTGGTAAGCCCATTGACTCCAAAGGGGGCATGTGGCCTCTGTTGTCAATTTAGTTCAGTTCTCCGAGTAGTAAGCATCTCTGGGACAGTGCACCGGCTCGGTGCTCGCTTAAGAGCCTGGTCCGAACACTCTGGCTCTGGCTCCTGTGTGCCTAGATGCTAATTTTGCTGCTGCTGCTGAATTTCTTTTGGATATGAAGTTTGAAAGTTTTTTTTTTTTTTTTTAAGACAGTATGTTTTTAATTTAGTCACATAAATGACTCTTGTTAGTTGCATGCAAAGTGACAAAGCTTGACTATTTTGGGATTGCAGCCTTTTGAAGAAATCTTACTGTGTTTTCTTCACGTGAGTTCGCCAGGCTGTCATTACCATTTCATGACAGACCCTGTGTCAGTTGCAGGGACCCTGTTCCTCTACTTATTTGTGTCACCTTATTTTCACCTTTTCCATATTTCCTTGCTGGCTGCAGTTCCTTCCTTCCTTCCTTCCTTCCTTCCTTCCTTCCTTCCTCCCTCCCTCCCTGAACCCTAAAAGAAAATAAGAACTGTTTTGTTGGTCTTGGTATTGCATGCCTTTAATCTCAGCACTTGAGGAGGCAAAGCCAGCCTGGTCTATGTATTGAGCAGAGCAGCCTGTGCTACATAGTGTGACCCTGTCTCATATATGTATATGTATGTATATGTGTGTGTGTATATATGTTTATATGTATATGTATGTGTATATATACTTTTTTTAATGCAGAACAGTTATTTTTTGTTTTGGCTTGATTTATTTATTTATTTATTTATTTTTGAGACAAGGTCTCCCTGTAGCCCCAGCTGGCCTGGAACTCGCAAGTAGACCAGGCTGGCCTCACAGAAATCTGCCTGCCTCTGCCTCCCAAGGGCTGGAATTAAAAGTGTACAACCCCATGCCTGCTGGCTACAATACTTTTAAAATAAAGTGTCTACTGGTGACACAGTAATTTTCCTGTTGGGGTGGGATAAAACTGATGGCACCTTAAATTTGTTTGAGAAGAACACGACCTCAAGCAAAGCTTGACTTATCTAAGAGAAAAAAAACTTGATTTATCTGAGAGTTTAGTTTTCCCTTTATTGCCTACAATTATTAAACCCAAACTTCATTATCTTTAAAAAATTTATTTATTATTATTGTGTTTGTGTATAATATGTGTGGGGGCTCACATGCCATGGTGCCTGTGTGTAGGTCAGAGGACAATTTTGTAGAGTCAGTTCCTTCCTTCCACCTTTGAGTGGGTTCTGGGGATTGAACTCAGGTCATCAGGTTTGTGCAGCAAGTGTTTTACCTGCTGAGCCATCTGGCTGGCCCTAAAACTTTTATCTAATCAAGACCCTTCAGAGGCTGGGAAGGAGCTCAATGGTAGAGTGCTTCCCTAGCATGAGGGAGGCCCTAAGTTACTTCAGTACCAGGGAATAAAGGGGAAAGACTTGGAATTAGGCTGTTTGAATCTGAAATTACTATTGCCTCTCGCACACCACAAATTTGGCCAGTTCCTTTCCCCTACATGTGGTTGTCAGTAAATGCATTAGGTTAATAGGTTTTACCTAGTCTTAGATTGTTTTGGTGAAGGAACTACACAGTTTTCTTTATCTCTGATGTCTACAGAGAATGCTTTGTTAGCATTTGCACATTGTTATCCTAATGTTGCTTTTTGAACTTGTCTGCAGAAAGCATCCTTTGAGAGGATGGATCACCTGCGCCAGCTGCAGAGCATCATTCAGGCCACATCCCGAGAGATTATGTGGATCAATGACTGTGAGGAGGAGGAGCTGTTGTATGACTGGAGCGACAAGAACACAGACATTGCCCAGAAGCAGGAGGCCTTCTCTGTAAGTGTCCCAGGGTGACTTTAGCCTGTTGCCTTGGTAACCTTGATCTCATAGACATCCGCCTGCCTCTGCCTCCCATGTGCTGGGATTAGAGGCATGACCAGCACACCAGCATGCTGTTACCCAGGAAGGACCCCACCTCCTGGGGCTCAAGCAATCTTGCCTCATCCCCCCAAGTAACTAAGACCATGGGGACATGCCACCATTGCTAAGTAACACCCCCATCCCCAAGTACATTGTTTAATATCCCAGAAGACAGTGATTCATTAGCTAGTGAAGAATGAGTCCATCCAGATAACCTAGAGTTGGATGGCACTATAGTATGGTGGATTAAAGCCTGGATTTGGGAATTAGAATGGGTTTAGCAACCTGTGATTTGAAAATCTGAAATCCAAAATGCTGTGTCTGAAACTTTTTGAGTGCCACCACAGAACTGTAAGCAGAAAATTCCACCCTTGACCTCAGTCAACAGGTGGCAGTCAAAATACACATGTGCCAAGTCTGGAGAGATGGCTCAGGGGTTAAGCACACTAACTGCTCTTGCAGAGGACTCACATTCAAATCTCAGCACCTACATGGCTAACAACCATCTGTAACTCCAGTTCTGGGGAATTTGATGACCTTTTGTGACCTCCGTGGGCATTGTACAACATGGGTGCACTTACATGCTTGCAGGCAATACACTCATACACATAAAATAAAAATAGTAAATATTTTTAAAAATACAGGTGTGCCAGGAGTTGGAGAATTGACTCAGTGGTTAAGCGCACTGACTGCTTTTGCAGAGGACCCGAGTTTGATTCCCAGCACCCACACTGTGGCTAACAACCATCCCTAACTCTAGTTCCTGAGGCATCCTAAGCCTTCTTCTGACCTCTGTGGGCACTGCATGACATGGGTGTGCTTACATGCATGCAGGCAGTACACTCATACACATAAAAATAATAAATAATAAAAATAAATACAGATGTGCCAAGAATATTGTATAAAATTACCTTCAGTCTCTGTGGATGGGAAACATAAATGAATTTTGTGTTTAGACTTGAGTTCTATCTCCAAGCTATCTCATTATGAATATGTAAATGTTCCACAGTCACACATCCAAAAATCAAAACACTTGTGGTCCCAGGCATTTGGATAAGAATATTCAACAAGCACTAGTTGCTGTTCCATTACTCTACCTGTATGATCTTGGTCAGGCCATGCCACCAGCCTGGCCTCAACCACTTACTGTCCTATTGAAAACATGCTTTCTAGACTTGAAAATACTATGATTCCGGAGGACAACTTACCACAAGTCTTTGGCATTGATTTTTTTTTTTTTTCCAAAATGCAGTTTTTGTGTGTGCCTCTCAATACTGTGGATGTAATGAAACCTAATTGTGACTTGCTTTAAAGGATCTGGTTTCTTCTTTCACAGATACGCATGAGTCAGCTGGAAGTCAAGGAGAAAGAGCTCAATAAACTTAAGCAAGAAAGTGACCAACTTGTCCTCAATCAGCATCCAGCTTCCGACAAAATTGAGGTAGACTTTATGGGGTTTATATTTTCCTTCAGGAAAAAGAGAGGCTTTTCATAAAGGAAGTCTTTGTGAGTGAATTAGTTTTATCCATTATAAAGCTATGCCAACCTTATTTTCTATTTTGGGATCAGCACCCTAGGCCAGGGATTTGCACTTGTTTTCTGGAAAATCCAGGTAATAAATATTTCAGACTTGTACACCAGATGATGGTCTCTGTCACAATTACTATGGCTATGTTCCAACAGAACTTTATTTACAAAAAAAGTAGTGGATTGCCTTTGCCAGAGATTGCAATCTGTGGGCTAGGTTCAAGGATAATGTAGGTGGTAGTGCTGGTATATCATATTAGTTGTTAAACCGAAACATTCGTGTTATGTGGGTAGAGCCTATGAAGACCTCTGCCTGAGTCCTTCACCCTCTACATGATCAGCAACAGGGCCAATGTAGTGCTTTCCCCAGTGTCTGTTCTGACTGGTCAGTAGCCGATCAATTCTGGCTAGACATACTTAGATTCATACTCCTAATGGTAGGTATTTGCGAAAACTGATGCTACCAAGAGCTCTCTGGTGGGAAATTCTGCTACCAGTTATCACACAGAAATTTGCTTGACTCAGAATAAAATAAAAAAGTGTCTTAGCTTTCACTGGGCCCAAGGGTCTATGTAGGAGACATATGATGTGCCTCTGAGTGAGAGTGAGACAGCTCATGGTTTCTTGTTTCAGGCGTACATGGACACTCTCCAGACACAGTGGAGTTGGATTCTGCAGATTACCAAGTGCATTGATGTCCATCTCAAAGAAAATGCTGCCTACTTTCAGGTTTGTACACTTATTATTATCTATTGGGTCTTACTACTTTACCTTAAAAAAATCATTAACTCTACGTGTGTGTGTGTGTGTGTGTGTGTGTGTGTGTGTGTGTGTGTGTGTAGGGGGTGCTAGCCATGATGCTTGTGTGGTCAGAGGACAGACTGTAGGAAATGACCCTCTCTTTGCCTAGAGATTGAACTCAGGTCATCAGGCATGGCAGCAAGTGCCTTTCCCCACTGAACCATGTCGCTGGCTCTGTCCTGATGTTTTAGAGTTACTACAGAGCTGTGAGAAGAAACATTGGTGACAGTGATGAAGCCTGGTCCCATCCCTTCCACGTATCATGTACCCCACACAAAGTCACAGCTTCAGGTTTCAGTTTCTCATGTACAAAACAAGGAGATCAGACACATGGTGATCAATAGGCAGCTCTTCCTAGTTTAAAAAACATGCCACAGGCATGCACGGTATGGAAAAGGTATTAATAAATGCATATGCTACACAACTACAAAGATAATGGGTTCATACGAATGAGAATACCATTACTACCTTATATTTTGAGTATATCTTTATTGTTATTTATCTTAAAAAATATTTTTATTAAGCCTCAAAAAGACCAAAAAAAAATTTTTTATATTATTCTTATTTATATGTGTGAATATGTTGTTTGTGTGTATATTGGTGCACCTGTGTCCCGCAATGCCCACGGTGATCAGAAGAGGGCGTATGGAGTTATGAATGGTTGTTAGCCACCATGTGGGTGGTGGGAATCGAACCTGGGTCCTCTGTAAGAGCACTTGATGCTCTTAACTGCTGAGCCATCTCACCAGCCCCCCAAGTATATTTTTAAAGCCCTGAAAACAATCTTGAAAATATTGCAAACATCCCATTTAACTTACTAATCACTCAGCTCCTGCTGTTGTGCTGAATGCTCTCTGTTCTAATCGTTTCCATTAGCTACTTACCAGAGGCTTAAGGGCAGTAGTTCTTGAAACAGTACTACTAAATACTTGTGTTGGTTAGCTTTCTATTACTATAGCAAAACATCATAGATAACTCATAAACTCAAAAGGCTTATGTGGCTAACAGTTTTGGAGCTTATCAGTCTGTGATTCACAGGCACCATTGTTTCAGCCTCTGAGGAGGCAGCACCTCATGGTGAAGAACGCAGAACAGAACAAACAGCTTAACATCAGTGACCAGGGAGTGGAAGAAGAGGAAGGGGCCGGGTCCCACTGCTCTTCTTGAGGACATACCCCCAATGATCTAAAGAGCACCACTGAGGCCCCTTCTAAAGGTTTCATCACCCTCAACAGTGCTACTCTGGAGACCAAATCTTTAACACACAAATCTTTGGGTTATGTTCAAGATCAAGCTGTGGCAAAGGTCATGCAAATTAAGTCACTTTTCATTGATTAGGATTGCTCTCATCCCTAACAGTTTTTTGAAGAGGCCCAGTCAACGGAAGCCTACCTGAAGGGTTTGCAGGACTCCATCAGGAAGAAGTACCCGTGTGACAAAAACATGCCCCTGCAGCACCTGCTGGAGCAGATCAAGGAGCTGGAGGTACCGTGCTAGACCCAGGCTGGGTTGGTGCACCCACAGTACAGCTCGGACCGCGATTGGTGTACAGCACACACCCCTAGCCGACACTACACTTTCTTTATCTTCCAGGGGCTTCTTTCTATGCCCAGTTACTTAGAGAATGACTTTTGTTTCAGTGTCTCGGAGGTTCATTGAAAACAAGAACTGAGAGAGTAGCGATGACGTAGCCTGACCATTCCTTTGGGAAATGGATCCACATGACCCATTCACACAGGATAGTCTTTCCTCCTCATTTAATTTAACCAGTTTATTATGAAGTTTCTTATGATGGATTTGTAGCTTATTGTAACTGATGCAACTAGAACAATATTTAATTTGGATCTTGTGGCAGCTTTATCCATGTCATCTGGAGATGTACTCTAAAACTCAGATGGCTTTTTGTATAAAGGCATATTTTGTTTGTAATTGCAGAGAGAACGGGAGAAAATTCTTGAATATAAGCGACAGGTGCAGAACTTGGTAAACAAGTCCAAGAAGATTGTGCAGCTGAAACCACGGAACCCGGACTACAGGAGCAATAAGCCCATTATCCTCAGGGCTCTCTGTGACTACAAACAAGACCAGGTGTGTGCTCTGGCATTCAGATGCCCACTAAAGTCTTCCCTTTCTTTACATGAAGATTTCATCTGTCAAGAAAACAAAATTTAATCTTGGTTTCAGTGAGCACCATAGTCATGTCTCTTATAAGTAAAGCAATAACCGATTGAACAAATGCAGCAGCTCTGTGCTGAGTCACTGGAAATTGTCAAGCATTAGGATTACAATGACTTCTTTGGTCCTGGGGAAGGAAGGCAGAGCTTGACGCTATGCTGAACATGTACTCTCTCACTGAGCTACTCCTTAGCCTAGGCAGTAGCTGTTTTGAGGGACTTAAAATTCTTTGTAAGTTTTATTACTTCTTTCTTGTAGGGCCTGGAGCTCATTTGTGATTACCCTCAACTTTAAGTTTCTGACAGAATAAATGAGAAATGATGCCATGAAGTGAATCTCTTGTAGCTTTTAGGCAGTTCTTGAGTACGGCAATCCCATAGGCTCTAGGAAACACAGATTTATAGAGAGATGATTTTTTCCAGTGCTTACTTATGAGATTCCCACAATTCTCCTTTCTTATTATGAAATTATGAAGGATTTAAGAAACATGATGTGATTACCTGGATAGCAATAAGCTGTATAAACCATTGGAGTCTGTTCTACCATATGGAACGTTCTGAGAGTTTGTGTGGTGAGAAAGAAGTGCTTTGGGATGGGCATGGTGGTGCACACCTGTAATACCAGCACTTGGGAGACAGAAGCAGGAGAACTGCCTCAAGTTCAAGGCTGGCCTAGGGTCCAGAGTGAGATCTTGACAAAAAAAAAAAAAAAAAAAAAAAAAAAAAAAAAAAAAGAAGGGAAGAAGTAGATTGGATTGAGATGTTGGGTAAAAGTCAAGCTTCTTGTACTTAATCAGCTGATATAGTTGTTTTTTTAATAGGTGATTTTTGTTTTTCTTCTGTGCTAGGGATTGGGGCCTCATAAATGTTAGGCAAGCACTTTGCCATTGAGCTACACCCCTAGCCATTTTAAATGTGTGTATTGGAATTAATTAATTGATTAATTAATTAATGGTACACAACATTGAATCCAGGACATCACACATGATAAGTACTCTACCACTAGGCCTTTTTTGCTTTTTGAGACAAGGTCTCCCTGTAGCCCCAGCTGGCCTGGAACTTGCTATATAGACCAGGCTGGCCTGGATCTCACAGAGATTCACTTGCCTCTGTCTCCTGAGTGCTGGGATAAAGGCTTGTGCTACCTCGACTAGATGTACCTATTTTGAAACATGATCTTACTAAATTGACCAGACTTCCCTTAATTTTTATCATAGCCCAGATAGCCCTTGAATTTGTAATCCTCCTCCCTCAGTCTCACTGAGTACCTGGGATTATAGACCTGAACCACCAGGCCTGACGAGTTAATTTATAAATGAAGATATTTAGATGCTGTAGCTAATTTAGAAAGTTGTTTTTCTAGGAACTAGTGCCAGGATGTTTTTATTTTTAAATGTTAAGAGCAAATGAGTGGGGCAAGTGACTCCCTCCCATATTAAAGTCTAATATATAAAGCATGAACTAAAAAAAAAAAATGAGGATGATGAAGTGAAGATTTGTTTTACAAAAAGACTTCTCACATTCCCCAGGCGATCTTTCAATCACACTTTCTCTTATTCACTTATAATGTAGCTCACTTGCAGACACACTTTTAGGTTCACATGTGTTATTTAAAACATCAGTATTGTTGAGGAGAGGAATGCTGAGCTTTGATGTGGGGAAGCATTGGAACTTCAACCGTTTGTATATTTTCACCTGCTTCTATCCTTGATAAACCACACGGGGCTGTTTGCTTTACAGAAAATCGTGCACAAGGGGGATGAATGCATCCTGAAAGACAACAAAGAACGAAGCAAGTGGTATGTTACAGGCCCGGGAGGCGTCGACATGCTGGTACCTTCTGTGGGGCTGATCATCCCCCCACCGAACCCACTGGCGGTGGACCTTTCTTGCAAGTAAGTTGCCAAAGTTCTTAACAGATATTGCACTGATGGGGTGGGAGCAGAGGGCTTGCCCTCAAATAAGAAGCTTAAACCAGTATTTTCTTACTGTAACTGCTTCCCAGAGAAAGACCTTCATGGAGGTCATGTTTACTTTGTCTTGCAATTTTATGTTGAAGACACTGTGGCTCTTGTATGAGAGCTTCTAACCATGTGGGAGAGCCAGGGGCCAGCATGAATAACACCTACTACACACTTTGAAGCTGCTGTTTTAAAGTTCTTTCCATCTTAGCAAATTGGTCCTTTTTGCATGTAACACCCCCATATCAATATTTGCCCATCAGTATATAGAGCATTCATTTTATAGGCTGTCCAGAGCAGTTTCCTTCAAATATTTTATTTTAGAACTCTAGAGGCATAAATAGAGTAGGGAGAGCCTGGTATGACCCTCCCACATCCCCCTGTCCAGGTTCCAAGGATTATCAGCACCTAAGCCACGTGACAATCACAACACCACTGACAGTCAACACAACAAAAACTGATGTAGCCCTTCTCAACCAAAATGATTTGAATAGTCTATATGACTGTAGATAAAATTGAGGATGTGCTTTGAGGAAGTAGATTAGTCCAAATCCATTGAAATGTTGATAGCTTTGAAAATTAAATACCATCACTTCATAAGGTTTTTTTTAGATTTCTGGGTGGTTGTACAAATATGTCCTGGTTTCTGTTTGGGCTAAAGTGTTTTCCCTTTCTGCCTTCTAGGATTGAGCAATACTATGAAGCCATCTTGGCTCTGTGGAACCAGCTCTACATCAACATGAAGAGCCTGGTGTCCTGGCATTACTGCATGATCGACATTGAGAAGATCAGAGCCATGACCATTGCCAAGGTGTGTCCTCAGGACCATGTAGTCAAACCTCACTGGAAAGATGGTGATTTTGTGTCTCAGCACATGAGGCCTCTCAGCTTTCCACAGAGGACTAGTCTATCCAGTACTGCATAGGCGTGAGATGGGGTAGAGCTCAGTGGTAGACAGTTTTCTTAGCATGCATGAGGCCCTGGGTTCTGTTGCTAGCACCATAAAACCAACAAAACCAGGAGAGGTGAGTGCATGGCTGGTTATGAGACAACAGAAACACTCACTGAAGTGACCTGAAAAGCCAGAAATATTTATGGAGAAGGCAGCATGGGCCTGTAATACTCTGGATCCTTGTCTCCTAAGAGATAATGGGAAATTAGATCATACATATGAACTGGAACATGAGGGGAAAGTTGAGATGGATTCTTGAAGAACCCTAAAAGCCTCCCACTAAATCAGAGGTGTGGTTGGAAGAATCTTGGGTTGGGTAGTCCTTTAGTGGAGCAAGAAGTGAGACGAGGGAAACATGGTGCATATGTTTTAAGTTCTCCTGAGCACGCCCTCCCCACTTTATCTTTGTAGTTAGAGCAGCTGTGTTTTATATTTGAGACTTCTGAGTAATATTTCGTTTGACGAAAAATATGCTGGGAGGGCGGCATTCAATCTACTGCTGTGGTCCTTAGGAACACCAAAAAAGCCCTCTAAGATCTTTTAAATGTTAGTCAGCCTATGAGTGTGGTCTTGTCCTCCATCTGGTGGTTGGAGCAGGGGCCTGTTTTCCAGTGGATTCTTCTTATACAAGACTGAGGGTCATTCATGTCCGCCCGACTCACGGTGCCTGATTCGCTTCCAGCTGAAAACCATGAGGCAGGAAGATTACATGAAGACCATCTCCGACCTTGAACTGCATTACCAAGAGTTCATCAGAAACAGCCAAGGCTCAGAGATGTTTGGAGACGATGACAAGCGGAGGATGCAGTCTCAGTTCACTGATGCCCAGAAGCATTACCAGACCCTGGTCATTCAGCTCCCTGGCCATCCTCAGCACCAGACAGGTCAGCCTGGAACATCCTTCTCTTTGTATCAGCTACATACATGGCTTGAAAAAAAAAAGCCATTTATATAAAACTAGTTTCAGGACCATTTCTTTGAAAAATACTTAATGTGTTTTGTGTTGATATAACAAAATACCTGAAACTGGGTCATTTATAAAGAAAAGAAGATTAGTGAGCTCATTATTCTGGTGGCTGGGAAGTCCACACAGTGTGGCGCCTGGCAAGTATCCTATGGCTATGTCATCATAATTCAGTGGAAAAGCAGAAAGGATATTGTCTGCATGCAGAAGGGACCAAGTGCTCGGAGTGACCTTACTTTAGAATAACTCATTCTGTTAGGAACCAGTTAGTGCCCAAGACTTAACCAACCCCCAGGAGATGGGCATTCATCCTTGCTGAGGGTGCTACACTTATAATTTAATCACCTTCTACCACATCAGTACTTTTATATTAGGGACCAGTCTTCCAGCACATGAATCTTTGGGGGATAGTAAGCCTTACCTACAACATAGCAGATATATAAAATCATTTGTGCACCAAAATTCTAGAATCAAGTCAAAGGAAGTAGGCATCTTTTTATGCAGTGCGGATGTTCTCTTGAGGCCTAGCACCCTGCCAGCTGGACATCCTCTGATATTTGTGATCCTCTCTTCTCTTTACAGTCACCCAAACTGAAATCACTCATGTGGGCTCCTGCCAGGATGTCAACCACAATAAAGTCATTGAAACCAACAGAGAAAATGACAAACAGGAGACATGGCTGCTGATGGAGCTCCAGAAGATCCGCAGGCAGATGGAGCACTGCGAGGGCAGGATGACGCTCAAAAACCTCCTGCTCACAGACCAGGCCTCTTCACACCACATCACGGTGAAAATCAATGAGCTCAAGGTAGGTGTCGTTGGTAGTAACTGCATCTACTTTATATTTATAAATGAAGAAAAACCTCATGGCTTACATGTTTATAGGCAAGTGTATTTATTTTCTATTGCTCTACTAATGGGTTTTTAAAAAAATATTTATTATTATTATTTATGTGCATGAGAGTTATGTCTGCGTGTAGGTAAGTGCATCCGTGCTGTGCAGTGCTCGCAGAGAACAGAAGAGACTGTCGGATCCCCTGGGACTGGAGTTATGGACAGTTGTTAGCTGCCATGTGGGTGCTGGGATTCAAACCGTGTCTTCTGCGAGAACAACCAATGTTCTTAACTGCTGAGCCATCTCTCTAGACCCTACTAGTGGCTTTTTAAGGGTAAAAAGTAATCATACAAATCACACAGCTGCAATGCTAACATCATGGTATATACACAATATGGACTATCATTCAGCTTTTAAAAAATATTTATTTATTTATGTGCATATGTGTGTATGGGCACCACATGTATGCATGTGTCTGCAGAGGTGAGAAGAGTATCAGATCCTCTGGAACTGGAGTTACAGGCAGTTGTGAGTCGTTATTGATGGGTGCTGGGAATTGAACTGTAGTCTTCTTCAAGAGTAGTAAGTGCTCTTAACTACTGAGCCATCTCTCCAGGCCCTATTATTCCGCTTTTTAAAAGATAGAAAATTTGAGAATTGAATGAACCTGGAGGACATTATGCTGTGTGAGGTAGACCAGATGCAGAAAGACAAGAGATGCGTGATCTCATTTATATTCAAAATCCAAAAAGGAGTCAAATTCACAGGAACAGGAAGAACACTGATTACTAAGGGTGGGGCCGGGGAGGAAGTAAGGAGATGTGGGACAAAGGGTACAAATTTGCAGTTAGGATAAGTCTGGAGATTAATAGCAGGAGTCTACAGGTAATATTGTTGTGTTTATTGAAAATTGGCTGAGAGTAGACTTTAGGTGATTTTAACATATGTACATACACAAGTATCTATGATAGGTGTCTAATAGAAACAGTCATTTTATTTAAGTATATCGAAAGAGCATGCTGCATACCTTAGCTGCCTGTGATTAAAAATAAGTTTTCAGAGGTCACAGAACTGGGGCCGGAGAGATGGCTTGGTGGTTAAGAGCACTGGCTGCTTTTGCAGAGGACCTGGGTTCAGCTCCCAGCACCCACCTGGAGGCTAATAGCTGACCACAACTCCAGTTCCATGAGATCCTACACCCTCTTTTGGCCTCTTTAAGCACTGCATGTATGTGGTATATTGACATACATGTAGGCAAAACACTTGTACACATAAAATAAAAATAAAGAAAAACAAATATTCATTTTAAAGTCGTAGAGCTCATGAAAAGGTGCTTCCCTTCTTTTTCGACAGAGTGTCCAGAATGACTCACAGGCGATTGCGGAGGTTCTTAATCAGCTTAAAGACATGCTTGCTAACTTCCGAGGTTCTGAAAAATACTGCTATTTACAGAATGAGGTTTTTGGACTATTTCAAAAGTTGGAAAATATCAATGGAGTTACAGATGGCTACTTAAGTAGGTAAGTACAGCTATCACTCTTCAAAAAATAGTTTACTTTTCAACTTTTTTTTCCCCCTCTTGGTGCTGGGGATAGAACCAAGGGCAAGTGCTCTTCCACTGAGTCACATCCCTAGCCCTGTCAAGTTTCATTCTTGCCTGACTGGTCTTGAACTCACTGTGTAGCTAAGGCTGACCTGAATTCCTGATCTGTCTGCCTCTACTACCTAAATGTGGGGATCACTCTCTCTCTCTCTCTCTCTCTCTCTCTCTCTCTCTCTCTCTCTCTCTGTCTCTCTGGTCTTTTTGAGACAGGGTCTCCCTGTAGCCCCAGTTGGCCTAGAACTCGCTATATAGACCAGGCTGGCCTTGAACTCACAGAGATCCACCTGCTTCTGCCTCCTGAGTGCTGGCATTAAAGGCATGCTCCATCATGCCTGGCTCAGATTCTCTTTTTACTAGAGATTTAGTTATATTCTTCTGTGGTTTGGAGAGAGTGACCTGTGGCTTAAGATATTAATTTTTGAAATTTATTGAAATTAAATTTTGAAATATTAGAACTATTCTTTTATTTATGTTTTATTTTGAAACAGGGTCTCCCTGTAGCCTCAGTAAGCGTGGAACTCACTATGTAGACCAGTCTGACCTCTCACAGAGATCCGTCTGCCTCGGCCTCCCAAGTGCTGGGATTAAAGACATGCGCCACCACTCCTGCCTAGAACTATTCTTTTTTAAAAATTTTTAAAAACTTTATTATTTTTATTTTATGTGTATGAATGTATTGCCTACATGTAGGTAGGTGCACCAGTGTCAGAAGAGGAGGTCAGAAGAGGGTGTCAGATCCCCTGGAACTGGAGTTACAGGCAGTTTTTAGCTGTCATGTGGGTGCACAGGAATAGAACCCAGATCCTCTCAAGAGTAGCCAGTGGAGAGCCAACTCTCCAGTCCCCCACCCCCAATTATTCTTATATATCTTAAAAGGAAGACATATTCAGGGGCCAGAACTTGAAATTCTTCAGTGGGTGCAGAGTGGTGGTTTGAATTAATGACAGAAAAGAAAAGAAAATACTGCTCCCATAGCCACAGCTTATAAAATAGGCAAAATAAATTTGCTCTGCATTGTTTTTAAAACATGGTCTTACGTATAGCCCAGGCTGGCCTCAAACTCACAGCACTCTTCAACCTCAGCCTCCCTAGTATGAGAAGTGCAGGTGTGAGCCACAGTACCCGGCTTGACCAGCTTCAACAGTATTCTGTTTCATGAATATCAGCATGAGCCGAGTGGTTACCATCTGATAATGTCACCAATAAATTACTGTTTTCTGTCTTGCTCTTCCCAGCCTGTGCTCCGTGAGAGCTCTTCTCCAGGCTATTCTCCAAACAGAAGACATGCTAAAGGTCTACGAAGCAAGGCTGACCGAGGAGGAAACTGTCTGTCTAGACCTGGATAAGGTGGAAGCTTACCGCTGCGGACTGAAGGTAACACAGAGGATTGTAACTCTAGCCTGCCTGACAGGAAGTAGGAGAGGATGGAGCCCTATGCTATAAAGCCTCACTAAGTTTTCGGGAGTATTTTTTTTTAATTTTTATTTTTTTTTACTTTTTGAAAATACATTTTATTTTTAGAACAGTTACAGATTTTTAGGAAAATTCACAAGATAGTATAGTGCCCATATACCCTGTTTGTCCTAATGTGGACATCCTACATTTGTGTGGCTTCTTTTTTCAGGGTCTCCCTGCAGCCCCAGGTGGCCTTGAACTCACAGAGATTTGCCTGCCTCTGTCTTCCAAGTTCTGGGACTACAGGCCTGTGCCACCAGGCCCAGCTTGTGTGGTTTCTTTGATAAAATTGGTGAATTGGTTTTGATATCTTAGTATGAGCTAATGTTGTGCCTTTTTTTGTCGTTCTTTTTGAGACAGTGTCTCCCTATAGCCCCATTTGGCCTGGAACTCAATATGAGACCAACTTGGCCTCGATCTCCCAGAGATCTGCCTGCCTCTGCCTCCCTAGTGCTGGGATTAAAGGCATGCACCAAAACACTCTGCTTGTTTTTTTCCTTTTTGGAGACATGGTCTCATATAGCTCAGACTGACTTTGACTGACTTTGACCTCCTGATCCTCTTGCCTCTCCCTCCCAAGTCCTGGGATTACAGGCCTGCAGTACCACAACTGCTATTGAAGTCCATGCTTTAGTCAGAAGTGCTACTAGGTTTCATGGGTGCTGAGGTTGTATTCATTACTTTTTTGTTACTGTGGTAAAATACTACAACCAAAGGCAATTTACGGAGTTAATTTGGCTTATGATTCCAGGGGGCTAGGTGTCCATAATGGTGGGGAAGGGATGGGTACAGGACCAAGCTGAGAGATCACATCTCAGCTGCACACAGGAAGCAGAGAGAAGTGACCAGGCTGAGGCTGAGAGAAGTGACTAGGGTGAGGCTATAAACAGTCAAAGCCTTCCTGCACTGATGTACTTCCCCCAGCCAAGGCTGCCCCTCCAAAGGGTTTCATAACCTCCCCAAACAGCAAAACCAGCCAGGGACCAAGATTTCAAATACATGAGCCTATGGGGGACATTTCTCACTTAAAGTACAACAGACACTGACTTTCTTTCATTGGCCACACATGGCTGACATCCGTTGTTAATAGGGAACTCTGGTCTCTAGTACCCATTAGCAGGAACAGTACAGAGGTAACTTGGGATGGAATTAGTTGGTAGAGTGCACAACTTTTCAGCCAAGTGTGGTAGTTCAAGTCTATAATTCCAGCACTTGGGAGGCTAAGGCAGGAAGATTGCTGGGCATTCAAGGTAAGCCTGGGCTACACAGCGAGTTAATAAGCAGTATAATTATCTCAGGAATAGAATGTGACATTTAGCATTTCCTAGACTAATTTATATGGTGAACCCACAAGGAATTAGATCAGTGGAGCAGATACTGAGAAACTACACTTCAGTAAATATATTTTCCTTGGTTGTCACAAGAAACTAGAAATACAAGTATTCAAAAGCTTTCATGAACTTTTTTTTTCTTTGCGATACAGAGGATCAAATCCAGGGCTTAAGTGTATGCATCACCACTTAGCCATGCCCCTACCCCTTTTTAATTTACTGATGTGGGTCAGTATGTAACTCAGTGGTAGAATGCTCCCAACCAAGTGGGTGCAGGGACCTGGGTTTGAGCCTTGGCACCAAAACTAGATAAGTAAATAAAACAAATAGAGACTTCGGTGGTAGCCCACTGTGGAGGAAGAGATTAATTTACATGTACTTGTTTTCTTTAACTCTTGTAGAAAATAAAAAATGACTTGAACTTGAAGAAGTCACTGTTGGCCACCATGAAGACAGAGCTGCAGAAAGCCCAGCAGATCCACTCCCAGTCCTCACAGCAGTATCCACTTTATGACCTGGATCTGGGCAAGTTCAACGAGAAAGTCATACAGCTGACAGATCGATGGCAAAAAATAGATAAACAGATAGACTTCAGGTAAGTCAGCCTTACCCACTGTCTCCCCTTTGGTCATTCAAATGCCACTTGAAGTTGTCATCTTAAAGAAGTAGTAGGTTTTTCTTGGTGTAGACTTAAGCAAATAGATGCTCTTTTACAGACTGTAAGTAGCTTTGTTTGAAATGGGGAAAGTACATCACTGTAGCCTTCCAGGGTCTTGGGGAATTGGCAAAAGCCATTAATGATCACTTTCGTGTCCTGGACACTCTTGTCATGTCCTTAGAGGTTGCTTTGAGTGAGTGCTCCCCCCAAATTTGTAAAAATGAATTCTTAGGCATGCTGGGCGTGGTGGCGCATGCCTTTAATCCCAGCACTTGGGAGGCAGAGGCAGGCGGATATCTGTGAGTTCCAGGCCAGCCTGGTCTACATAGCAAGTTCCAGGTCAGCTGGGGCTAAAGGGAGACCCTGTCTCAAAAAGACCAAAAAAAAAAAAATTAATTCTTAGGCAAAATGAAATGCTTTAGCTGCAAATATGGATCTAAAAAGTCTCCCAAATTATGTCCATTTTACTAGTGGTGCCTTTTCAGAAACATCTTTATGGTGGTATAGCTCACACACCAGAAAATTCACACATTTAAAGTATACGGTACAGTCAACTTTTAGTATGATGAGAATTGTGCAACCATTACCACAGCCTGTTGTATTGGTTTTATTTATCCAGTTCTAGGGGTGGAGACAAGGGCCTTGCAAGTGCTCTACCACCGAGCCACACCCCCAGTCCAACAACTTGAGTTTTGAACTTTTCCATCAGCCCCAACAGAAACTCCCATACCTGATGACAGTCACTCCCTGTTACCTCCCAACCCCACAGCCCTAGGTGACCACCGTCTACTTTCTATCGCTAGTTTTACCTATTCTGAGCATTTTCTATAAATGGAGTCATAGAATCTGTGGACTTTTGTGAGTGGCTTCTACATAGTAGAACTCATCTGGGACTCATCTACTGTGACATGTTTCACGCACCTTGTTTATTTATTATTATTTTATTTTATTTTTGTGGTAGTAGGGGTTGAACCCACAGCCTTCCCCATGTTAGGTAAGTGTGCTACCTCTGAGCTACTCTTCCAGCCCTTGGCTCTTTTAAACAGGGCCATGCTATGTAGCTTAGATTGGCCTAGAATCCTAGATCCTCCTGCCTTAGCCTCCTAAGTACTAGGATTATAGGTATATGCCTATATTTTTCCTCAGTCTCTCTCAAAACTAAATTGACTTTTTACTGTCTATTTTTTATTTGTTGGGGGTATTGAAAGACAAGGTCTCATGTAGCCCTGGCTGGCCTCAAATACCCTGTGTGGCCAAGGTTGGTCTCAAACTCTTTTAAAAATATTTTTATTAACTTCTTTGAGAAGTTCATGAAATGTATTTTGATCACATTTGCCCCCCCACCAAACTCCTCTCAGATCTGTCCCCACCTCCCTAGTCCATGCAGCTTTGTATTCTTTTTCATTCCTTTTTGAGTCCAATGTGTTGCCGGAATATTCTTGGGTGTGGAACCTGCCCTGGATTGTAATGGACTTTCCAGTGTCACACCCTTAAAGAAGACTGACTCTTCCTTTCCTAGCAGCAATCAAATGCAAGTAGCTCCTCAGCTAAGGTGGGGCTTTGTGCCTACCGACCCCCTCTTTGCTGGGATCTATGTTTTGGCTTTAACTCTTGATCCTTCTGCCTCCACCTCCCAAGTGCCACCACATTCATTTTTTTCATCTCTTTTTTTATGGCTGGATAGTATTCCATTGTTTGATTTACAGTTGATGGATATTTGGGATCTTAGTTTTGGGATATGTTGTAAAAAATGATACCAGGAATATTCATGTATAAGTTTCGTGTAGTCATGTTTTTCTTCTCTTTGGTAGAAACCAAGGAGAACTGAGTGACTCAAGGTGTTACATATGGTAGGAACCAATAGCAGTGTCTTAATAATTTTATTACATTTCCTCCAGATTGTGGGACTTGGAGAAACAAATTAAACAACTGAGGAATTATCGTGACAACTATCAGAGCTTCTGCAAGTGGCTGTACGATGCTAAACGCCGCCAGGACTCCCTAGAGTCCATGAAGTTTGGAGATTCCAACACTGTCATGAGGTTTTTGAATGAGCAGAAGGTATAAGCCAACTTGTCATTCCGTAGCTGTTTTGAGATTAATTAGGTGTAAGCTCTGTTGGCCTCTGGTTTGAAATGATAGATATTTAATGTTATAAATGCACCTTGTGATCCTTAAAGTATACACAGAGAAAGAGCAACTGAGGAATTAAGAAGTGCAGTTGTGAAATAGAAATAACAGAATGTTGTTTACATGTTATAGCAGAAAACTTTCGTAAATTGAGTTGATGTAGCCCATGCCTGTAATCCCAGCATGTGGGGTGCTGAGACGGGAGGATCTTGAGCTCAAGGCCAGCCTGTCTCAAAAACAAACAAACAAACAAACAAACAAACCCCAAAGACAAAACACACAAACTAAAAATAAATTTAAAAATTAAAAAGAGAATGTCCTCTTATAAATAGTAAGTCGGAGGCAGAGCGTGGTGGCGCATGCCTTTAATCCCAGCACTCGGGAGGAGAGGCAGGTATATCTCTGTGAGTTCAAGGCCAGCCTGGTCTACATAGTGAGTTCCAGGACAGCTGGGGTACAGGGAGACCCTGTCTCAAAAAGAAAAAAATTAGTAAGTTGGAGAGTTTTCTGATTTCTGAATGGAAAAAAAAAAAGGTTCTCCTAAGATATAACTGAAAATGAGGTCAATACATGCAGTCATAAACTGAAGAGGAAAAAATATATAGTAAAAGTGATAGCATTTATTTTATGTTTGCGTCCTTTAACATTTGTAAATATTCTACTCTTTGTCTAGAACCTGCACAGTGAAATATCTGGCAAACGAGACAAATCAGAAGAAGTACACAAAATTGCTGAACTCTGTGCAAACTCAATTAAGGTATATTTGTTTCATTAAGAATGAATTGTTGGCTGGGCATGGTGGCTCATGCTTTTAATCCCAGAACTCGGGAGGCAGAGGCAAGTGGATCTCTGTGAGATGAATGCCCAGCTTGGTCTACATATCAAGTTCCAGGCCAGCTGAGGCTACAGGGAGACCCTGTCTCAAAAAGACAACAGAACAAAACAAAACAAAAAAACAGGATGAAATGTTGGTACAGCAGGGGAGGGAGGTGAATATGTTCTAAATGCATTGTGTTTATGTATGAAATTACCAAAGGCTAAATAAAAAATTTTAAACAAAACAAAAAGAATGGTGGTGGTGGTCAGGAAGATGGCTCAGTGGGTAGAGGCACTTACTGCCAAGCCAGACAACCTGAGTTTGATCCTCAGAACCCGTATGGTAGAAGGAGAGAACTGACTCCTGGAAATTGTCCTCTGACCTACGCATACACACACACACACACACACACACACACACACACACACACACAGGTAGGTACACACACACACAAATAACTAAATTTTTAAAATCTGTTTTATTTATTATTTTTATTTTATGTGTATGAGTGTATTACCTGCATGTATGTGAGTGCACCCGTGTTGTGCAATGCCTCAGAGTTCAGAAGAGGACGTCAAATTCCCCTGGAACTGGAGTTAAGGATGGTTTGTAGCCACCATGTGGGTGCTGGGAATCAAACCTGGGTCCTCTGCAAGAGCTGGGAATCGAACCTGGGTCCTCTGCAAGAGTAATCAGTGCTCTTAACTGCTGAGCCATCTCTCCAGCCACTAAATAACTAATTTTTTTTAAATGTTGGTGTTTCATCCATCATATTAATTATTTGTTAGTTTTCTTTAAGGATTATGAACTTCTTGAGGGTGATGAGTATATAGATTCTGTCCTGAAGAATCCGTGCAAGTTTGTTATCAATTTATTTGAATTCACTGCACAGTGGAAATATCTGGGGGGAAAGGGCTAGTCTTTATACTTTAGGTTGGTGCTTTCTGTAAGATTCTGAATCATCATGTAAAAAGGTACATACTTCATTTAAAGAAAAAGGGAAAAAGGTATATGTATAATACTTGGTTGACCTTTGTGGATGAGTTTCAGAAAAAGTTTGATGAAGTCTGTGTAATTATAGCTGTTAGGGACTGTTAATGTTTCTGAGGGCTGGGTGTGGCGATGCACACCTTTAATCCCAGCACTCAGGAGGCAGAGGCAGGTGGATCTCTATGAGTTCAAGGCCAGCCTAGTTTACAAAGTAAGTTCCAGGACAGCTGGGGCTTCAGGGAGACCCTGTCTCAAAAAGACCAAAAAAAAAAGAATGTTTTTGAGGGGCTGGAGAGATGGTTCAGTGGTTAAGAGCACTGACTACTCTTGAAGAGGACCCAGGTTCAATTCCCAGCACCCACATGGTGGTTAACAACCATCTATAACTCCAGTTCCAGGGGATCTGACGCCTTTTTCTGACCTCCGGAGGCATTGCACGACACAGGTGTACTTACTCACATGCAGGCAATACACTCATACACATAACATAAAAATAATAAAAAGAATGTTTTTGAGGGACTGAATAGATGGCTCAGAGGTTAAGAGCACTGGCTGCTCTTGCAGAGGACCTGGATTTGATTTCTAGCACCCACATGGTGGCTAACAACCACCTGTAACTCCAGTTCCAGGAGATCTGATGCCCTGTTATGACTTCCATGGGCATTGCACAACATAGGTGCATTTATATACATGCAGGCAATACACTCATACACATAAAATAGAAATAATAAAATATTCTATGAAGAATTTTTTTGAGGTGGCTTATGCCTGTAATCCCATCACTCAAGGGGATGAGGTAGGACTCATCCAGACTTTGCTGCAGAGTGAAACCTTGCCTTAAAAATAAAAAAAACAACGCTTTTCTAAAGGCTGGCGTATAGCTCAGTGGTACAGTACGTGGCTAGCAGGCAGAATCCTTAGTTAATCCCCAGTACACACCAAAGCAACAAAGAATGCTTTTCTTAAACTTTATTATTCTGCAGGATTATGAACTCCAGCTGGCATCATACACCTCAGGGCTGGAAACTCTACTGAATATCCCTATCAAGAGGACCATGGTTCAGTCCCCATCTGGAGTGATTCTGCAAGAGGTATGTCTGTCATTATATCTCTCAGTGTCTGCCATTCATTCTGCCTCTCTGTTTCCTGCCTGTTTCCCCTACTATACCTGACTACATTGCTGGTGTTGAGTATCCACTGAAAAAGGTTTAATAACAATTTTATTCTCCCTTCAGTGTGAGTCATCTATACATGACACATTTTAGGAAATTAGTAGCAGTTTGAGCATGCCATTTATACATTGGATGTGATTTTCTGTGTTTGGTGAGCTAGGCTTCTCACCAAATGGAAGTACATAGTTGATTTCTAAAAGACAGCTTCCCCTCAAAGATGTCGGAGAATGTCAGCTGTCAGGTGGATGGGGAAAGTCTATGATGAGGATGGGACAGAACTGGCTCTGGTCCTTCATTTTGCTGTACTTGTAGATTCTGGAGCCATCACATCTAACAGAAGGGAATTTATTCTTTAAATTAAAATGCCACTATTTCATTATGAAAACTTGTACAGAACTTTTTGAATGCATTATACATATATTTCTTTTTCTCTTTTTTGCTAAGGCTGCAGATATTCATGCACGGTACATAGAACTACTTACAAGATCTGGAGATTATTACCGATTCTTAAGTGAGATGCTGAAGAGTTTGGAAGATCTCAAGGTAATTTATTTCCATGGAGCATAAAAAAAAGAAAGAAAAAATAGCATAGAACCTTATTTTTACCTCTAAATTAGAACACATTTTGGAATCTCACTGGTCAGATTTTATTTCCTGTGTAACATTTGTGAATCTGGGATCTGGATTGTGCTCTACTATGACTACTTCGAGTGAACTTAAGAAATATTTGCAAAACCACAGCCACTTTACTTTGTAAAAACCCAGTGATTTCATTTAGTGCTTAGTTTAGGAATTTGCTTTATTTCAATTTAATTATTTAATTTATTCCTTTTTGATACTAGAATTGATTTTCTTTGAAAGCTTACTTTATACCGTTGAATAAAAGGTACATCATATATGAAATCATAAGCTTTTTTTTTTTTTTTTTTTGAGTCAAGATCTTACTATGCAGCCTAGGCTGAACTCAAACTCACAATCCTCCTGTCTCAGTCTCTAGAGTGTTGGATTACAGGCTGTACTACCATGTTCAACTTATCATAACTAATTTTACAAATGAGACTAAATCTCAAAGTTGACATTTCATTCCTTAAGATCATATGAGTGGCTGATGGAGGAATTATGACAAGCGTGGAAAGTCCTTGAATTTTTGTCTGATAGTTTTTTTTTCTTTGTGTGTATGTGTGTGTGTGTGTGTGTGTGTGTGTGTGTGTGTGTGTGTGTGTGTGTGTAACTAGGAAAATGTACATGAGTCTGAAGAGGTAAAGTGCTGTTTTGTTTTGTTTTTTCCTTATGAGGTCCTTTTTTGTTTTTAAACACAATTTCTGATTTCATGTCCACAGCTGAAAAACACCAAGATCGAAGTTTTGGAAGAGGAGCTCAGACTGGCCCGAGATGCCAACTCTGAAAACTGCAATAAGAATAAATTCCTGGATCAGAACCTGCAGAAATACCAGGCAGAGTGTTCCCAGTTCAAAGCGAAGCTTGTGAGCCTGGAGGAGCTGAAGAGACAAGCTGAGCTGGATGGAAAGTCAGCCAAGCAAAATCTAGACAAGTGCTACAGCCAAATCAAAGAACTCAATGAGAAAATCACGCGGCTGACCTATGAGATCGAAGATGAAAAGCGAAGGAGAAAGACCGTGGAAGACAGATTTGACCAACAAAAGAACGACTATGATCAGTTGCAGAAAGCGAGGCAGTGTGAAAAGGAGAACCTTGGCTGGCAGAAGCTGGAGTCAGAGAAAGCCATCAAGGAGAAGGAGTTCGAGATAGAGAGGTTGAGGGTTCTGCTCCAGGAGGAGGGCGCGCGGAAGAGAGAATATGAGAATGAGCTGGCAAAGGTAAGAAACCACTATAATGAGGAGATGAGTAATTTAAGGAACAAATATGAAACAGAAATTAATATTACGAAGACCACCATCAAGGAGATATCCATGCAGAAAGAGGATGATTCCAAAAATCTCAGGAACCAGCTGGACAGACTCTCTAGGGAGAACCGAGACCTGAAGGATGAGATTGTCAGGCTCAACGACAGCATCTTGCAGGCCACTGAGCAGCGAAGGCGGGCTGAGGAAAATGCCCTTCAGCAGAAAGCCTGTGGCTCCGAGATCATGCAAAAGAAACAACACTTGGAGATTGAACTGAAGCAGGTCATCCAGCAGCGCTCGGAGGACAACGCCAGGCACAAGCAGTCCCTGGAGGAGGCTGCCAAGACAATTCAGGACAAAAATAAGGAGATTGAAAGACTCAAAGCTGAATTTCAGGATGAGGCCAAGCGCCGCTGGGAATATGAGAATGAACTGAGTAAGGTAAGGCACAGTTACGATGAGGAGATCATTAGCTTAAAAAACCAGTTTGAGACTGAGATCAACATCACCAAGACCACCATCCATCAGCTCACCATGCAGAAGGAAGAGGATACAAGTGGCTACCGAGCTCAGATAGACAATCTGACCAGAGAAAACAGGAGCTTGTCCGAGGAGATAAAGAGGCTGAAGAACACACTAGCCCAGACCACTGAGAATCTCAGGAGAGTCGAAGAAAATGTCCAGCAGCAAAAGGCCACTGGCTCAGAGGTGTCCCAGAGGAAGCAGCAGTTGGAGATCGAGCTGCGACAGGTCACTCAGATGCGGACGGAAGAGAGCATGCGCTACAAGCAATCCCTCGATGATGCTGCCAAGACCATCCAAGATAAAAACAAGGAGATCGAGAGGCTAAAACAACTGGTAGAAAAAGAAAGCAACGAGCGGAAGTGTCTGGAGGATGAAAATTCAAAGTTGCAGAGAGTCCAGTATGATCTGCAGAAAGCCAACAACAGTGCAACCGAGACCATAAGCAAACTGAAGGTTCAGGAGCAGGAACTAACGCGCCTGAGAATCGACTATGAAAGGGTCTCCCAGGAGAGGACAGTGAAGGATCAGGACATCGTGAGGTTCCAGAGCTCCCTGAAAGATCTGCAGCTTCAGAAGCAGAAGGTGGAAGAGGAGCTAAGTCGGCTGAAGAGGACAGCCTCCGATGACTCTTCCAAGAGGAAGAAGTTGGAGGAGGAGCTGGAGGGCATGCGGAGGTCTCTGAAAGAACAAGCCATCAAAATCACCAGCCTGACCCAGCAGCTGGAGCAGGCATCCATTGTGAAGAAAAGGAGCGAGGATGACCTCAGGCAGCAGAGGGATGTGCTGGATGGCCACCTGAGGGAGAAGCAGAGGACTCAGGAGGAACTGCGGAGGCTCTCCTTGGAGGTGGAGGCCCTCAGAAGGCAGCTGGTGCAGGAACAAGAAAATGCCAAGCAGGCTCACTTGAGGAATGAGCATTTCCAGAAGGCCATAGAAGATAAAAGCAGAAGCCTCAATGAAAGCAAAATTGAGATCGAAAGGCTGCAGTCTCTCACAGAGAACCTGACCAAGGAGCACTTGATGTTGGAGGAAGAACTGCGTAACTTGAGGCTGGAATATGATGACCTGCGAAGGGGCCGAAGTGAGGCGGACAGTGATAAAAACGCAACCATCTCCGAGCTAAGGAGCCAGCTGACCATCAGCAACAACCGAACCCTGGAACTGCAGGGCCTGATTAATGATTTACAGAGAGAGAGGGAAAATTTGAGACAGGAAATTGAGAAATTCCAAAAGCAGGCTTTAGAGGTATTCACAAATATTTGATCACAGCTTCACTGTTTCTCAAATAACTGACTCCGCATCTAATCTGTTCTCCTGCTGCTTCTGGAAAGTCTACTTTTCATTTTTACTGCTCACTTAACACTTGTCAAATCTATAGTACAGCCTTAAAATAATTCCGATGCCTTTTGCCCCTCTGTCCTATCGCCACACTGAATGCCAGTCTGTATGGAGTCTGAGCTTGGGCCCTACTTTTAAAAACTTTAGCATGAGAAAAACATCTAAGACCACTTCCTGTGAATGTTTGGCTCTCTTTTCTAGAAGGTAGCTCTTGGCTGGAGCTGCTGCTGATGGTGGAGCAGGTGCTTAGCATGCACAAGGCCCTGAGTTCAATTCCCGACATCAAAAACTTAGCATAAACAAAAGAGAAGGTGGTTCTTATTTAATGAACTGGACATACGTCTTTAACTCAAGTTTTCCTCAGTGAAATCCATTAATTAAGCATTTCTCTATGCAATTTTTAAATTACCCTTTCCACCTTGCTTAGATGACTTTTCTGCATGCATTCCTGTTGTCTTCTGAACATGAACCTAATGTTTATTTTTGTTTCCCGTTTATTCATTAACAAGCCCTAATTTTAAAATAACTTCTTTTTAACTTCTAATATTTTTGAACTCTATAGACAATATTTGTGTGGGGCTGGGTGGGGTGTGTGCATGCATCTATATGTTTGTATTGCCTTATTAAACATTCTAGTACAGATGTGCCAGATATGACATAGGTAGAGCTGGATGCTAACTTAGAAGGAAATTCCAACCCATTCCCCAACCCCCATTTCATTACTGTTAAAAACAACATAGGTCTACAACTTCTAGTTCCTTCTATGGAAAAAAAAGAATACAAAACAGTAAGTATGAAGCCGTTTGTCAAAGTAGCACTGTATACTTTCAGAATTTTTCCAGAAATACGTGAGATAACAAGGTAATAGTATATCCAGGGAAAACAGAAAGAAAAAAACTAGTGTACAGTTAAAATACACATGTAGGAAAGGAGGTTAATTACGATGGTCATGCGATAGATTCTAAACATTATTTTTTCCTATTTTATTTTCTTTTTAAATTCTAGGCATCTAATAGGATTCAGGAATCAAAGAGTCAGTGCACACAAGTGGTTCAGGAGAGAGAGAGCCTGCTGGTGAAGATCAAAGTCCTGGAGCAGGACAAGGCCAGGCTGCAGAGGCTGGAGGACGAGCTGAACCGTGCGAAAGCAACTCTGGAGGCAGAAAGCCGGGTGAAGCAGCGCTTGGAGTGTGAGAAACAGCAGATCCAGGATGACCTGAACCAGTGGAAAACTCAGTACTCCCGCAAGGAGGAGGCCATCAGGAAGATAGAGTCAGAAAGAGAGAAGAGTGAGAGAGAGAAGAACAGTCTGAGGAGTGAGATTGAGAGACTCCAAGCAGAAATCAAGAGGATTGAAGAGCGGTGCAGAAGAAAGCTAGAGGATTCCACCAGGGAGACACAGTCCCAGCTGGAAACTGAACGCAGCCGGCTTCAGAGGGAGATTGACAAACTTAGGCAGCGCCCGTATGGGTCCCATCGGGAGACTCAGACCGAGTATGAGTGGACTGTTGATTCCTCTAAGTTAGTGTTTGATGGGCTGAGGAAGAAGGTGACGGCAATGCAGCTCTATGAGTGCCAGCTGATTGACAAGGCAACCCTGGACAAGCTGTTGAAGGGGAAGAAGTCAGTGGAAGAGGTCGCTTCTGAAATCCAGCCTTTCTTGCGGGGTGCAGGGGCTATCGCTGGTGCTTCTGTGTCACCTAAGGAAAAGTACTCCTTGGTAGAGGCTAAGAGGAAGAAATTCATCACCCCAGAATCCACAGTCATGCTTCTGGAGGCCCAGGCAGCCACAGGTGGTATCATTGACCCCCATCGGAATGAGAAGCTCACAGTTGACAATGCTATAGCTCGGGACCTCATCGACTTCGATGACCGCCAGCAGATCTACACGGCAGAGAAAGCAATCACTGGGTTTGATGACCCGTTTTCAGGCAAGACGGTATCTGTTTCAGAAGCCATCAAGAAGAATTTGATTGACAGAGAAACTGGAATGCGTCTGCTGGAAGCCCAGCTGGCTTCAGGAGGGGTAGTAGACCCTGTCAACAGTGTCTTTTTGCCAAAAGACATTGCCTTAGCCCGTGGGCTGATTGATAGAGATTTGTATCGGTCCTTGAATGATCCCCGAGATAGTCAGAAGAACTTTGTGGATCCAATCACCAAAAAGAAGGTCAGCTACATGCAGCTGAGGGAGCGGTGCAGAATTGAACCCCACACTGGTCTGCTATTGCTGTCGGTACAGAAGAGAAGCATGTCCTTCCAAGGAATCAGACAACCTGTGACGGTCACTGAGCTGGTTGATTCTGGTATATTGAGACCATCCACTGTAAATGAACTGGAATCGGGTCAGATTTCTTACGATGAGGTTGGTGAGAGAATTAAGGACTTTCTTCAGGGTTCCAGTTGCATAGCAGGCATATATAATGAGACCACTAAACAAAAGCTTGGCATTTATGAGGCCATGAAAATTGGCTTAGTTCGACCAGGTACTGCCCTGGAGCTGCTGGAAGCCCAAGCAGCTACTGGTTTTATAGTGGATCCTGTTAGCAACTTGAGGTTACCTGTGGAGGAAGCCTACAAGAGAGGTCTGGTGGGCATCGAGTTCAAAGAGAAGCTCCTGTCTGCAGAAAGAGCTGTCACTGGTTACAATGATCCTGAAACCGGAAACATCATCTCTTTGTTCCAAGCGATGAATAAGGAACTCATTGAAAAGGGCCATGGCATTCGCTTACTGGAGGCGCAGATTGCAACTGGTGGGATCATTGACCCAAAGGAGAGCCATCGTTTACCAGTTGACATGGCCTATAAGAGAGGCTACTTTAATGAAGAGCTTAGTGAGATTCTCTCAGATCCAAGTGATGATACCAAAGGATTTTTTGATCCAAACACCGAAGAAAATCTTACCTATCTGCAACTAAAAGAAAGATGCATCAAAGATGAAGAAACAGGGCTGTGTCTTCTGCCTCTGAAAGAAAAGAAGAAACAGGTGCAGACTTCACAAAAGAACACCCTCAGGAAGCGAAGAGTGGTCATAGTTGACCCAGAAACCAACAAAGAGATGTCTGTTCAGGAGGCCTACAAGAAGGGTCTCATTGATTATGAAACCTTCAAAGAACTGTGTGAACAGGAATGTGAGTGGGAAGAAATAACCATCACTGGGTCAGATGGGTCCACCAGGGTGGTCCTGGTGGACAGGAAGACAGGCAGTCAGTATGACATTCAAGATGCCATTGACAAAGGTCTCATTGACAGGAAGTTCTTTGATCAGTACCGATCTGGCAGCCTTAGCCTCACTCAGTTTGCTGACATGATCTGTCTGAAAAACGGTGTTGGCAATGGCACTAGCATGACTGGTGGTATCAACGATGATGTTTTTAGCAGCTCCCGACATGAGTCAGTAAGTAAGATTTCCACCATATCCAGTGTCAGAAATTTAACCATTAGGAGCAGCTCTTTGTCTGATCCCCTGGAGGAGTCAAGCCCCATTGCAGCCATCTTCGACACAGAAAACCTGGAGAAAATCTCTATTACAGAAGGTATAGAGAGGGGCATTGTGGATAGCATCACTGGTCAGAGGCTTCTGGAAGCTCAGGCTTGCACAGGTGGCATCATCCATCCTACTACTGGTCAGAAGCTGTCACTGCAAGATGCGGTCTCCCAGGGTCTCATTGATCAAGACATGGCCACCAGGCTGAAGCCTGCCCAGAAAGCCTTCATGGGCTTTGAAGGTGTGAAAGGAAAGAAAAAGATGTCGGCAGCAGAGGCAGTGAAAGAAAAATGGCTCCCGTATGAGGCAGGCCAGCGCTTCCTGGAGTTCCAGTTCCTCACAGGAGGCCTTGTTGACCCCGAAGTGCATGGGAGGATAAGTACGGAAGAAGCCATCAGGAAAGGCTTCATCGATGGCCGTGCAGCTCAGAGGCTACAAGACATCAGCAGCTATGCAAAAATCCTCACCTGCCCCAAAACCAAATTAAAAATCTCCTACAAGGATGCCATGAATCGTTCCATGGTGGAAGATATCACCGGGCTGCGCCTTCTGGAAGCTGCCTCTGTGTCCTCCAAGGGCTTGCCTAGTCCTTATAACATGTCCGCTCCAGGCTCCCGCTCCGGTTCACGTTCTGGATCTCGCTCGGGCTCCCGCTCTGGTTCCCGCAGTGGGTCTCGGAGAGGAAGCTTTGATGCTACAGGGAATTCTTCCTATTCCTATTCTTACTCATTTAGCAGCAGCTCGATTGGTCATTAGTAGGCAGTTAGAAGTGGGAACTATACCTTAGAGTCATTTATATGAATTTCTACTTTATTTTAAATAACAAGGAAAGAAAACCTGGTGCTTGCAGTATAACAGTAGAACTTTCTATATTAAAATAAGATAGCTGTAGTCAAAATCCAATAGTGAAGGCTCTCTGGCTTTGTAACTCTCAGCTCATCTTAACTCATGTAATACACTTCGATATATGTACATGAAGTGATAATCACCTGTAAGGATAGCACAAATTGAATTTAGAATTATTTCTTTTCCTCTGTGTTTTGGTTTTTGATCTTCCTGAATGTGTTTTTTTGGGGGGGGGGGGCTACAATGCCAATTTCTATTTTTCTATTCTTGGAGACAGAAATTAAGCTGATCTCTGGGGTTTTAGCCATCATCCTATTTCTCTTTTAAATATTTCCATTTTCTATATTAGGAGAAAATTACCCTCCTCCCTACCCCAAGCATTCTGGCCTGTGTTTCCCTTAGTTTAAGAACATAGATTGTATTACCCATATACTCTTTAATGCACTTGTTTGGTTTGGTATTGATTTGACTATGCCCACAATAGCAGTATTCTTTGCTTTTCTTTAGTCAAAGTTTTCTGTTTATTTGGCTTGTCATTTTCTATGTACTTTAAAAAGGTGTTTCTATGAAGTTTGCTGTTCTGGCAATAAAGTTTTAAACTTTGGAAGTTCTTGTGTTTTGATTTAATGATGTTTATATATAAAAGGGCTTTTAACATCTGATTTTTATATCTCATAAAATAGGTCTAAAATCATTTGTTTACAAACTAAACAAGAAAAACTATCAAAATACTAGTTTTGAATTATTTTTAGAAGGTGGTCTTTTAAAATTAGTTCTTTAATTTAGCTCCTTAGAAAGAGCTTGTGGAAACTGATTATTTGAGAAGATCAAAGCCATGTTCTGGTTTATTCTGGATAGTAAGTTCCAAGTAGTAGAACGTGACCATCATAGTATGGGGGAAAAATCATGAGATGGCTGAAATTCCTTTTTGGATAGCCTCAAAAAGTAAGTAATATTGCATTTTGCCCCCTCCTCCCAAAGGAAAGAATTGTTCCTAAATCTATGGAATGGTTCCTGAAGAGTTCTTGACTGATGAAAAACAATGAAATATGAGCTTATTCTAGTGATTGAACGCCAAATGAATGGAATTCAGAGATTTGACATTGAATTGACTTGACTCAGAACCTACCATGTTAGTCACTTTTCCCATTGCTGTAACAAGCAGCTGAAAAAGTCTGAAGGGAAGAATTATTTATTCTGCCTTGTGGTTTCAGCCCATAGTCCTTGGCTCAACTGCTTCTGGGTGCATAGTGAGGCACCCATCATAGTAACAGGGGGCATATGGTAGAGGACATTCATTCATCTCATGATGGACAAGAAGGGGAAGAGAGGGATATACCCTTCTATTCTTCAGGTTGTCATTAAACTCTGAGATAAGATGGGATTGTTGGGCTGGCAAGGTGGTTCCACGGATGAAAGTGCTAGCCATGAAAGCCCAAGGACCTGAGTTCCACCTTGGAACCCATAAAAAGGTGGAAGGAGAGAACCAAGTCAACAAAAGTATCCTCTGACCTCATACATGTGCCATGGCCTGTATGCATTCTCCCTCCAATCAACACACACACACACACACACACACACACACACACACACAAAATATCTGTCTTAGAGCACATGCTTTATTTGCTTTATTTGGGCTGAGTTTTCGCCTGTTTCACCTATACAGAGCATTCACAGAAAAAAGAAATCTATCTAACTTTTGATAACAGTCATAGTGGCATATTCAAAATTGATATCGTATTTTCCCTACTATTATAATAAAGAAAAATAAGAGAAGTGACAGGTTCAATGGGAAAGGAAGCTGAGAAAAACTACCCTTCAGAATGAGCCTTTCTTTTTCTTTTTTCTTTTTGAGATAGGGTCTCCCTGAAGCCCCATTTGGCCTGGAGCTCACTATGTAGACCAGGCTGACCTTGAACTCACAGAGATCCACCTGCCTGGGATTAAAGGCGAGCACCACCATACCCAGCCCAGAATGAGTTTTATTAGGAGAGAAAAACTCATGATCACTGGGGGGCCATATTGCGGGGGGGGGAGAGGAAGAGAGAGAGGAAGAGAGAGAGAGAGAGAGAGAGAGAGAGAGAGAGAGAGAGATTTCTGATTTTGTAGTTTTGGAGAGTTGGCAGGAAGTTCCACACAACATTATTTAAACTGACATAGCCTACATGTCAAAGAGACAGGTACTAGGTAGAACCACAAAGTTATCTTGCAGCTATGAAGACTGCAACCTCCATCTGTAGACTTTAACCTCCAGAAAATCAATAGAAAAAATATTACAAAAGGTATAGAGTGGGGCATTACGGGTAGCATCACCAGTCAGAGGCTTCTGGAAATTCAGGCCTTGGCTGGTAGCATCATCCACCTTAGCACTGGTCTGAAGCTGTCACAGCAAAATGCAGTTTCCCAGGGTTTCATTGACCATGACATGGCCACCAGCTTGAAACCTGACCAGAAAGCCTTCATAGGCTTTGAAGGTGTGAGGGGTCAGTCCACTGAAGGGGGTGTAGCCTGATAACTGGCAGAGAAAGAAAGGGAGAAAGAGGGAGAGAGGCAGCTAGAGGGTCTGTGATATAACGCCTGCCACTTGGTTAGCTATGTAAATATAAATAGAAGTAAGGAGAGGGGAGATGGGCATGAAGTCCACCCCTAGCTAAGGAGTTACTGGTATTTGATAGTTACTGGGAGAGGAAGAGTCAGTTTTCCTTAAAAGTGTGACTCCTGGTAGGTTGACCACAGTCCACTTTCCACACACAAGAGTCTTTGGGCAGGGCCTAGAGAGATAACTCAGTGGTTAAGAGCACTGACTGCTCTTGCAGAGGACCTGGGTTCAATTCCCAGCACCCAGATGGGAGCTAACAACCATTTCTAACTCCAGTTCCAGGTGATCCAACTACCTCTTCTGACCTCCACAGGCACTGCACAACATGGGTGTACCTACCTACATGCAAACAATATACTCATACAAATAAAATAAAAATAATATATATATATATATATATTTTTTTTTTAAAAGAGTCTTAGCTGGGTATGGTGGCACATGCCTTTAATTACAGCACTCAGAGAGGCAGAGGCAGATGGATCTCTGTGAGTTCAAAGCCAGCCTGGTCTACATAGTGAGTTCCAGGCCAGTTAGGGCTACAGGGAACCCTGTCTTCAAAAAGACTAAAAAAAAAAGTCTTTGGGGCAACACAAATTGAATTCCATGAGTAAAATCACACACACACACACACACACACACACACACACACACACACACACAGTTGGGTGGGGGTAATATGATCAAAATACATTACATGAAACTTTCAAAGTACTTTTTAAAGAATGATACTGTGGAGGCTGGAGAGATGGCTCAGCGTTTAAGAGCACTGACTGCTCTTGAAAAGGACCTGGGTTCAATTCCCAGCACCCACGTGGTGGCTAAAAACCATTCTTAACTGCAGTTTCAGGGTATCTGACACTGTCTTCTAACCTCTGTGGGCATTGCACGACATGGAGCACTTACACACATGCAGGCAATACACTCATATACATAAAGTAAAAATAATAAGTAAAATATTTAAAAAAGAATGATACAATGGGTGGAGTGTGGGTAATGATGTCTAGCTCATCCCTACTCCCATCTGCTGGAAGCTGCTGGCCTTTCTGTTCTTAATGATACCATTTTCCCCTCAAAAACACTCATTTCTTATTTAGTGAATGGATTTACTATTTTTTTTTAAGTTAAAAGATGAGAGCTATGCTATTTGTCCTTGGAAATAATTGATCAAAAAGTTTCATAGTTCTTTTATCAGAGAACTACATAAAGTGCAAAGGAAAGCACAGATCTGATAATGAGGCATGATAATATAAACATGAAAGAGCTATGCTTGGTGGTGCACATCTTTGATCCCAGCACTTGGAGGGAGAGGAGGTGGATCTCTATGAGACTGAGGCCAGCCTGGTCTTCACAGGGAGTTCCAGGCCAGCTAGGGCTACAGGGAGACCTTGTCTCAAAAAAGACAAAAAATAAACAGATAAATAAGTAGATAAATACTCAAGAGATTAGATTTGGGGATCAAAACAGTTTGAGAGAGAGTAAAAGCTGGCTCAAAAAGAGGGAGATACAAAGCCAACTTGGACAGTCAGAGCAAAGCATTCAAGCACTAATCGATATATCGATATCTCCAAGACAAAGAGGAGGACTTAATGTGATTTCTGCTGATCAAATTTAAGATAATTTGGATCTTGGGAATTATCACAATAATGAGCCCTATAACACTAGATCTAAAGACCTAAATCCGTTTAAGCACCTTGAGTCTATGGTGAAATAAACAGCAAAATGGAGATGTGCGCAGAATTCAGAATGCTGTGATGGTAAGTGTTAACTGTCAAGTTGACAAGATCTAGAATCACCTGGGAGATGGGACTCTGAGCATGCCTGTGAGGGATTCTCTTTTTCTTTCTCTTTTAAATGTAACTCTTATGAACAAGCAGTATGTATCTTTATTAGCAACAATTTTTTTTTCCTAAGACAAGCATGCCTCCATCACTTATAAGCCCTCTATTGCCACATCCACCCGCTGACACACCCACTGAATTGACTGCTTGACTCAGTCACATGGTGAGGACTAGGATGGCTTATAAACCTGCTTTTGATAATTCTATTATAAACAAAATTTGGTGGCTTTCTTTTTGTTTTTGAGACAGGGTCTCCCTGTAACCCCAGTTGGCCTGGAACTCACTGTATAAACCAGGCTGTCCTCAGTCTCATAGAGATTCTACCTGTGCCTCGCAAGTGCTGGGATTAAAGGTATGTGCTTACCATGCCCAGCTCATATTTAATTTTTTATTAAATTAAATTTACCTATATCAAATTCCATTTTAGAAAATTACTGTATAATTGCCAATCTAGGCTTAACCAAACTGTAAACTGACGTTAAATTAAAGTTCAGGAAATAATAAGATACACTGGGTAGGGTAAAAGCGTTTCCACAGGTATATTAATTTAAAAAAATTAAAAACCAAAATCCCAGACCAAAACACAAACATGTACTGAGGCTGATCCTGTTGAAGTCTATTGTGGGTAGTGATATTTTCTTTTAATTGGGAAAGAATAGTATTTAATAAAGTTTATTGATTTTATACCTTTTAAAAAGCTCGAATTGGATAGTCATGTTCAGGTCACATTATATGAAACACTAAAAGAAACAAGGGAGGAAACTCATTTCTACAGAAATGCTTAGGGGGCTGGAGACATGACTCAGTGGTTAAGAGCACTGGCTGCTCTTGCAGAAGACCTGGGATCAATTCCCAGCACCCACATAGTTGCTAACAACCATCCGTAACTCCAGTTCCAGGGAATCCAACACCCTCTTCTGACCTCATTAGGCATTGCACGACACAAGTGCACTTACATATATTGCAGGCAATACACTTGTCCTAGTTTATTTCTGCATTGCTGTGACAAAACACTGACCACTACCAACTTGAGGAGGAAAGGCTTTATTCAGCTTATATCTCCTGGGTCACAGTTCATCAGGGAACCCAAGGTAGGAACTCAGGGCAGGAACCTGGAGGCAGGAGCTGGAGCACAGGCCATGGAGGAACTCTGCTTACTGGCTTGTTCCC